CCGCATGCGGCCCGCGGCCGCAAGTTTGACACCCCTGGTCTAATCGACTCTTTTTTATGACATTTTGTGCAGGGATAATATGCAAAATTCAGGTTAATTATGCTTAAGATAAGTATTTCGCAAGCCTTCATACACGGAAATTATAGGGAAATCCATTCTCTAAGAATTAATCGATTTTTACGATCACCGATTTTTATCAAGATCCTCATTAGCTAAATCATTGAGCTAAAGTTACAAACTTTCTATTAATATCAAATATGCCACGTTACGTGCTTCAAAACATTAGATTTTTACAAAGTATAGTCTCTTCGCCCAATAATTCCCATGCATTCGCCGACAAGAAATGCGTCGGAACAGAAGATCAGTCAATGGTTTACTATCTGCAGCATAACAATGGTAAGACACTGGTCGTTTTTATCCATTGTTAAGGTATCAATGATCTACCATTTTATGTAAATACTATGAACAATCAATTAGAAAATCTTAAAAGAAAAACGATAACACATTTGTCAGTTAATAGCAAAAATTAAACTGATCGAAGATTATATAAATAAATGCCATTTTCTTTTGTGTCACAGGATTTTACAATTTTTTATTGCTGTATATTTCTCGTTTTTACGATTATCACAAAGAAATTTATTATAAAAAACATCAAAAATCGGTTTTCGTTTCTCGATCCGGCGGCAGCCAATAGTACACAGTTGATAAATTGTGATTCAGGAATGTCACCAAAGCCCATAAAACATTCTTCGATGGAAAGATCAAAATTCAAGTTATCTATCTTAATAATTTTCCACTGGTCTCAAACCAAAATTTACCGGGTATCTCACAATAATAGAATAATTTATTTATCCTTAATTGTTATTTAAAAGCCAACATACCAAAGTGACTATAATGTTATCAATGACATTAAACAACATGATGCGCAACTCCGGCATTTTTGTCCGAAGATTGTATTCGATAGCACGCTCCAATGCACATACTTGACGAGACGAAAACGAGCGGATGTGTGCTGCTTTCAAGGCGTAGCACGAATGGTGTTCGTGTCTGCTTTGACAGTTGTTGTCGATTTTAATGATATTTTTGAAAGTTGGGGTAAAAAGAAATCGGTAAAAGGTAAGGTAAATACTATTGTTGTATATCACACCCGGGCATCGCACTGTTAAGTACATGTGGGAAAGCCAGCCTTTGTCAAATACTACGAAGTTATTAATTCAGTACGGTACGTAGTTGCCCATTTGCCGAAATTACATATTTACTTACCCCTTATGGTTTCAAATAGTTCATGCACCTCCAGTTAGATTTTTTTAATCAGTGAGGATATATACTCATTGTTGATTGCTGCTCATTGTAACATACTATTACGCATTCACTTTTATTTGCGTATTGAATCAAAGTGTTAACAAGTTCACCTAACATTTCACTCATACCGGTCTATATTGTATAGTCTGATTTCTCAAGTATTTGGAGCCACGAATGCTTGTAATTTTCTGACTAAACCCTTTTATTAGTTGGTTTATATACCAAATTCAGTAAAATATTTTTTAAATAAAACATGAGATATTGGATTTATTAGCTTTTCCATTCTGAATCATATAGACTGCTTTATTTATTCTTAACGAAAATTAATAAATCTCCTCTCTTTCTTCAGATGTGAAAGTTGTGGACAAACCTGTCTAAGCATTGTGAGACTCCTGCAGCACAAGAGGCAATAGCAGAAATAGTAAGTATATCAATCAAGAAATTAAGCCGACATAAAGCAAAACTTTCAACTATTCGTCTAATCTCAATTTCCTATTATTTATTCACAGGACAACTATAGCAGACGGGGAGATATCAGAAGTCTGGCGACATATCAGTGACAGTGTGATTCCAAGAAATATAATGCAATTGAAAATTGCAATAGAAAAACAACCTATGGAGGCATGCAAAGACATTTGACCCTCCGGTAGAGTTGTGTATGGCCCCCACATCCTGCAAGGCTTGAGCAAAATAACTAAAAATTCCAAAGCGTAAGATTGCATAAGCGGTCTTATTTGTAAAAAGGCACAAAACACGCCAGACATACTTAAAACAGCTTTGGAAATGAGGATTACGGGTACCTCACTGCACCTGTGTTATATTTGGTTCATCAACTTTTGGTAGTACTATAGAAGAAATTCCGGAAGGGGTATAATCATCATTCATGATAAAATACTATCATATATTTTTTGAACAACTTCAATCTAGACCAGGGATCCCCTAGAGAACTTCCAGTGCGGCCCTCGAACGCTTAACAATAATTGTAATAGTATTTTTGAAGTTTTTTTTTTTATCTAAATGTAATAGATTTTTCAAACTTTCTAAAGTGAAATTGATTATTCGCACAGAAAACAATTTACTGAAAGTAGTTTTGGAATATTAATTTTTTTGTCCACATTTTGACCCAATTAAGAATACACATCAAGCTAGCAAAAGAATACTTGAATAAAACACTTGAGTAATTAAATTAAACGCAAAGTACATGAAGAAGGTGGCATTTTCGAAGAAAATGGGAGTTGTAACATTTCTGCTCTTCACAAAATTCTGAAGCACATTGTTTAATTTGTCATATTTCCGTCAATACAATCAAAAAACACAATAAGCTCAGCAGTCAATATGACAAATTCGAAGACCAACTTCGAACAGAAAATTTCCATGTGTTTGTATATTAATATAATTATACAACGACTTAGTTACTAAAAATCAATATCAATAATAATTCAAGCAATCCTATGCCACGCAATGTAGTGCGAAATGTCTTGTCGAAAAAATCTGTCATTTGTTTTTTTACTGATCCATACATGAAATGATAAAAGTAACTTTTTTGCATTACTGGAATTAATTAAACATTCGTAAAGATCCAGATAAACCCATGATCATGTGGCCTCGTTAGTTAGAGTTGGTACTATAAAATCATTTCAGACTGGCCTTAGTATGCTGGTGACACAAAAAAGATGCCAAACGCCAGGACAAATGTAATTATTAAAACATTGAGTTTATACTGTAGTATTTTTGTTAATTTTAGGTTCATATATCTTGATTAAGTTATTTTTAGTGTATGTATTATTCTTTCCTTATTCAAAGCTTGTTCAGAAATGATTTTGATGGTTGTACATAGAATTTTACGATTTTCTATAATAAATACTGTAACTTGCAAATGTTGCAATAATAGCGGAATGCAAATATTAATATGTAATTGCATTTGAAATTGAAGAAAATAATAAAACTTAATCCAACTGTTTAGTTGCATCACAATATATGTCACAAACTAAAACTATCTTAAAAATATCTTTTAAGTATACATTATCAAAAACTGTTTGCGGCTCTTTTTACAATTTTCAAAATGCAATGCGGCTCTCGAAAACCCATGAGTTTGACACCACTGATCTATTCTAGACGATTCAAGCATTGCTTTGGGAAATTATATCACTTCAATTAAATTGAAATAATCTCGCTATATTAAATACAAAATCGTTGCTATCATAAAGGTAAACCAATTCAGCCACTCGAAATATATTGGCCTTCACAAAGCAATGGAGGCAAAATTGAGAGTTCATGAGCTATGAACATTTTCTTTGTCTTGAACTTTCCATACTCCACAGCCCCTATTAATTTTTTTTAATTTTAATTACCATGTGATGGTCATACATATCTTTAACTTGTATTTTCTGTCATGATGTATTATCTCAATGTGCCAAACTATTAATTAGTGTGCATATTTTGCTTCCAGATGACATAAATGTATTGTCATGTTTATTACCTCAGCTTGGAGTATTGACAAGAAAAAGGTGCCAGTAAATTAGGTAAAAAAATTTTCAACTCATTGTTATAATCAGAATTCACAATCAATAGGAATTATAAACAGCCAACAATCAGTGAGAATTATATGCGAAATCCCTCAGAATAAATTTGTCTAAAATCGGAGGAAGGCAAAAAATATTGGTAGTTTCCATCCACACAAGCATTTCAAGAAGACTTGCTCGAGACAAACTAAATGAGCATCGTCAGGTGATCGGTAAGGCTGCAAGTTGAATTCAGCCCTGCAACCTCCTGCATAGAAGATAATATTAATTAGTGGGCTATAAGCTAAATTCCTAAATTTAAACAAACCTATCTACGATGCATTATGTACCAGCAATGTTACCTACGATTAACTGAATATGTAATATGTCTAATAAATTCACCTACAAAAGCAAGTTCGATAGGTGCAAACTTTGTGTTATGGAATTGTATCGCAGCACAGTTTTGTATGACACCCTCTTTAAATGAAATTTCAATGATTAAGCGCAAACATAAAAATTACTAACTTTGAACTTTGTCATTATCTGCAAAATGTTCCACACAAATCTTTCCGCTATCGCGTTTGTAATCTTCTCTGATAAAAAATACGTCTATGATGTCCAGAATTGCTCTTTACAGCTTGCCTGTTATTCCAACTTTCCAAGTAAGCAAAACTTTTTAGATATAGAGATTATTTTGTTTCGTTACAGGCGCAAAAAGGCAGGTACTACACGTAAAAAAGACGCCGAGTAGCAAAAGCGAGCGGAAAACGGACGCGAAAGGCGACGAGAAATATGTGCATTGGAGCGTATCATGAAATACAATGTTTTGCCTGTAGTGTTATGGAGTGACGTCAGAGTTGCCTATCATGTTGTTTAATGTCATTGAATGTTATAGTCACTTTGGAACATACGACCTTTATACGACATCAGGTGGTACTACCACTGAGGGTACTACCCCAATGTACAAGTGTAAGAAAACATCGCAGTGTTTGCCACAGTGCTAAGGTCGCAAACAAAATGATAGCGAGCTTTTGTAACTTCGTTGCTTTCGTGAATTGAGCATGTAATTATGCATAGAAGAAGCATTGTGATTTTTGGTTATTTTATTCCGATTCTATTTTTTTTGGAAAAGGTTATTTCATATCTGCATATAGAACCTGAGAATATAAGTATTCTAGGCAATACGTGTGAAACATCCACTATTTTTGAAGCAGGTTATAATAGTTTGGTAGCCTAGTTGAAAGCGTGTAATGTGGAACGAATAAAATGTACTCTGAGAAAATGTCAGTCCCTGTAAATAAAGATGGACATACTCTATGTCATCAGGGTAGTGAGAACAGGCACCAAAAGATAAGACGAAGATTATCTAGGATTACTTCTTCAAGAAAATTGGGACGTGGAAAAGCAATTGCAGTATTTACCAGTGGGGGTGATTCTCAAGGTGAAGAAAATATACTTTTGTAGGGTCTCCTGAAGTACGCACCGCCAAGTACTTCTAGTGCAGTAGTGGGCGCAGCATAACGATTCTATCAATCTAATATTCCTAACCCCCACCCGAGTACGTCACCCGAAAATTACATCACTGCGATATCACGATCGCGTTATAGAGCTTGCTGAAGTATAGCTACGATAGTCCGAAATGGCATCTGTGCAGACTATAATGAATTCACTCATTGACAATAACGTCAGCGATCTCTCTCTTATCGCTATCGTTTCGACGAGAAAACGAGAGAAATAGCTTGCTCGATTTCGGATGATTGTCTGCACAACCCTCCGTGTAGGCCTCCTTTGGAGGGCCGTATTACGTCACTGCGACGTTGCAGTGATGTTATTTTCGAAGGGCGTAGTCGGGTGGGGGTTAGGAATGACATATGCAAAAATTGTTCAGCCAGGCCAACTATAAGTACGTGCGGTGTGTACTTCAGGAGACCCCTTTTGTACTTTGATATGAATAATCAACAAAAATTTTATTAAGAAAGTCCATTTTTACAAACCTAATTCTTCTCTCCAAGTTGGTCACTCAAATGAACTCCCTTTTGTCGAACTACTGAACTATGCATGGTCATTTGCACATAAAATTCAAGAAATTTGTACTTTGATATGAATAATCAACAAAAGTTTTATAAAGTCCATTTTTACAAACCCAATTCTTCTCTCCAAGTTGGTCACTCAAATGAACTACTTTTTGTCGAACTACTGAACGCTCATGTGCACATGAAATTCGATTATAGTATGAAAGTGCGTATAGTGTTGGAGCGGTGGACTGTGTTGATGATTTACAGTGGGATGTGCATGAAGTCAGGCTCTCGACAGTGGCAGTAAGAGCCCTCAAGAAATAAGAGAAAGATGTTTGTTTTATATAAATATCTATAACTGGATGCAAATAATCTGAAGCAAATAATATTTGGTAAATTCGACATGGATGTTCTTGGTTTAAAAATAAATTAGAATGCTTTCATTTTGAATATTGTCATTTTAATCATGAACAAAATAAAAAACGAAACATCAAATATGGATGGGCATTTCAGAATGCAGTCGACGAAAACATGGTAAACATCAAACGTAACTAGTACGTTGCTTGCGTTGTACGTAACTTTATACGTTGAGTGGTCAAGTGGCTATAAATTTCACTCACAAATTGGGTTCAGAACTGTGCATGAAGAAAATCACTGTTCATGGCTCTTTGAGGGTTTGATTCCACGTGCCATTAATTCCATAAATTCGACCCATAAATTCGTACATGTCAAATATCTCTAAATAAAATAACTTGTACTAACATTAATGATATACCTATGTCACATCTATTGCTGTTATTTTTAGGAATGAATGCTGCAGTGAGAGCTGTTGTTAGGATGGCAATCACATGTGGGTCAAAAGCATATTTGATTAAAGAGGTTTGTGTTTATTTTTGTATGATGTAAGCACGTTCATGGTATTTTTTTCATGATACCATAATTATTCTTTTTGAACATTTTAGGGTTATCAAGGAATGGTTGACGGTGGAGATAATATTGTTGAGGCTGGCTGGGAAGATGTTTCTGGAATTTTGCAGCTGGTATGTATAAATCATTAAAAAGGTATTGTTATCAATTTTCTAGATCAGGGGTTGGCCGACTGTGGCCCATTAATATCGTTGATTTTTGACGACTTGCTAATTCTCCAAGCTAATACTCAAAAAAAATCAAATTTATGCAATTCTGTAAAGTAAATTCATGACGCCATGTAATGACTGACGAAGGTTCCAAATCAATTAGAAATTAGTTTTGTTACCTACTAACGGAACGAAACGTTCCAATGCAAAATTGAAAGTATGAAGACATTTGGGGGGAAAATAGACTCTATATATAGGCAAAGCCAAGTTATACTAACAAGCTGAATTTCAAAACTCTTTTTGTAACTTGTATGCGACAGATTTTAAATGAAATGGATAAACTTTATTTAATGACTGGTGTTCTGGCTGGTGAGTGTAGAGAAATTAATTGCCACTTTTTACATTTACAGGCAGTTGCATGTAGAAACCTTTCACCATCTCATTCCATCCTAATTTTTATTTCTCTTTCAAGGGTGGAACTGTGATAGGAAGTGCTCGTTGCCAAGAGTTTCGTGAAAGATCTGGAAGATTGAAAGCAGCATACAATTTAGTGTCTAGAGGAATCACTAATATTTGTGCTATAGGTACGAATGTAATTGAATAAATTGTTCTCCTTATAAGGAAGGTCTGGGTGAAAGTGTGTTGCAGCAATTCGATAAATTTATATGTTTCAGCATTGCAAGATCAGTCACTAGTTATTTGGAGGGCGTACAATGCAATGGTTTATAATTATGTTCTTTTTCAAGTGATACCCACTTCTATGCCTTTAGTTTTGTTTTAAATTCGACAAAAATATCAGCTGTTGAAAATGCTTTGATACTGTTAGGTCCTTCTTATATTTGAATGGCAATACTCAAACTTATAATGGATTGTTATATGAAAAATATCTATATTTTATTATGTAACATATGTTAAATAATGGCTTTGCATACTATATCGGATGATGAATTCATTTACTATTTTTGTAAATTAATATCCATACATTAAATGAAATTCTTTTAAACATAATACATAGGTGGTGATGGATCATTGACAGGTGCAAATAAGTTTCGTGAAGAATGGCCGAGTTTATTACAAGATCTCGTTAATGAAGGAAAGATAGATGAAGAGCAGAAATTGAAGTATAGTCATTTGAACATTGTTGGACTGGTAAGAGAAATTTTGAATTGATATAAATATTATCCAAATCAAGATTGTCAAATATACTCCACTTTGATCAATCCTTTTACATATGAATGAATTGATTATTTGTATACGAGATTGAAGTTTATTAGCGCATCAGTTAATTTAATAATATAACTATCTCTATGTGATTTTTTAAACAATAAAGTAATTAATTTGAATAATGCTTTTTACCTCAGGTTGGATCAATCGACAATGATTTTTGTGGAACTGACATGACAATTGGTGCTGATACTGCTTTGCATAGAATTGTTGAATGTGTTGATTGTATTTTAACTACTGCTCACAGCCATCAACGTGCTTTTGTATTGGAGGTCGGTTTGTCTCTTAACATTATCTATCTCATGGTTTGTAATTTATATTCATGCTTTTTGTTGCTCGGAAGAGATTTTCATTTAGATTAAAGCTTGGTCTGTTCTAATTTTTAGGAATGTCATTGTCTGCATTTATAGCTGTGTAATATCTGTGAAATAAGTACTGAAATTGATTTTACAAAATGTTTGATGTTTACCCATAATTTTTCACCTGTGACTCTGACACCATCATAAAAATGCACTAAAATAGGACATTCTGTTTTTTTGAAAGATGACATATTAGGTACAATTGTTGTTTTATAATTTAATAATTTTCTAACTAGAATTCGGTTGGAAACCGAAGACTTCTCAATCGAAGGTTAGGGGATCCCCCCCAAAACAGTGGTCTTACTCCATAGTGACACCGTGTGTCCCATCACTAATTAATCCATAACTCACTAATTATACAACATGATCCATCCAAAATCAATAGGCTTCTGATCTGAGCTAAGATGAATGCACATGCAAAATTTGGAGCAGATTGAACCTCGCTTTCGTGAGATATCGCGTGCATCTAACACACAGACATACAGACAAATACCTATCAACATACTTACTGATCAAGATCGATAAGTAATATGATATAAATATCTCACCAAGTATTATCATTATGTTTATACCAAGGTTAAAGGTATACGAATAACATGTCGGTTTAGAAAAAAACTTTTGGGACAAACCTCATGGTAGTCGGTAGTCACCTAATAACTTGTGGAAACATTTTGCTGTGAGCTGCCTAAAAAGAGTTACACTAAGAATAATAAACTTTATACTCGCTTGTCAGATTGACATTTGAACGATATATTGCAAATTTGCAAGGCAAAAGTTGATTTTAGCGCGTTGGCCAACACTAAAAAAACATCATCCTTCACATTGATAATTAGTAAATAAAAATAATGTATTGAATTTGATAAGAGATGAGAAATAACTGACACTGACACACCTTTGTTTCAATTCACTAATTCTTTTTTACAGGTTATGGGACGTCATTGTGGATATCTGGCTCTTGTTACTGGACTTGCTTGTGGTGCTGACTGGATTTTTATTCCTGAAAATCCCCCTGGTGATGACTGGCAGGAAAAGATGTGCACCAAGTTGGAAAATGTAAGTGTGTTCATGGGCCTGTCTTTGTTCATTATCATAACCAGCAGGGTGAGCAGATGGCATGTTAAGGTTGGGATCCCACATAGGTGTAACTCGAGTGTATCTGACGTTCATTTGTGGCATTATCGTATCATGGGTAACAACCTTTTGCCGCCAAAAAGAAATTTACATAGGACCGTTCAGAATTACTCTGTAATATAATAATATTAAAGTCACCTACCACTCGTAGTCATGGTAAGGCACAAATAACGCTTGCAATATCGAGGGAAGTTTGCACCCATGAATATTGACTTGTAGTCATCGATATAGTGGGCAATACCTATAAATTGGCAATTCAAAAAAGTTACCTTTTGAATGATGCATCACGAGTTGTGAAAACATTTTTTTGTGTGAAACAAAATTTTATTTGGCTAGTTGACCCACGTGGGTTTTGCTAATCTGGTGGTGAAATAATGATATTTAAAATTGAGGATATTACTGAGTTTTCAATATTGATGTTACTGGTTAAAATTCTCACATTCAGAATATGTCAGTTTTTAAAGTGAGTTAGAATATGGTTGTTCATATTATCAGAGCAATTGGAAAGCTATGTGTCAGGATCAGAAGGAAGCCAGACAACTTGTTATGTGGTTTCGGGCTGACCTTCCACAATGGAAACAATACTTTTAATAAAAGGTTCAGTATTGAGACAGTCAAATTGTTCTTAAAGCTAATTCAATGAGATTGTGGAGTTCTTAGAAGTTCAAATTAAAAGGCCCTCTAGTTATAAACATCTTAATTTCATATATACTGTGCAACATGCTGGTGAGAAAATTCATTTGAATTGAAGATTTTTTAAAGTAAGGCTGTGCTATGATCCATTTAATTCAACAGTAGGTCAGTGATCTTGTTTTGTATGGGTCAGCATACAAGACTTATGAAGGTCATCAGAGCTGCTTATTATACATAACATTATTAATCTTTGCATGTAGACTCATCACTACTAAATATAATGTGCCATGCAATTTTCCCAAAAATATCTTTCCACCAATTAGGATATAAAATTGAAGGTAGTACTATGCCTAAAAATAAAGTCCTAAAACACATTTGTAATACTAAATGTTACAGAACGTTACTCTTTGGTCTCATCACATAGTCTTCCTAACTTTGAAACCATTGCATTATACACATAAAGATCCACTGGCGTAAAGGCATACCGTAGATTAAGGTAGTTGGTCTGACAGTAAAATCATGCGAGTGCATAATTACAGGAACTCAGCCAGGACAATTTAGTAGGGGTGCTTTTAATAAATGAGGTACGGTAAATTATTACATTTATAAGCTCTCACAATATCAAATACCTTTCAATGTACAATTTTACCAGTTTCTAGCTTGAATTTGGGCTAACACTCATCAAGAATGTCTACATTATGGTTTGTATGGCCCTCGTTGATAATTTGATCATTGTTTCCTGGAGATATATTTGAACGCATGGAGACCTAAATCTGGGGTTTTACAACTAATCCTCCTTGCATTGAATCACTCATCAAATTTACTAAATAATTTTAGCATAGATTTTTATATATTTATTGAAATAGATATCTTTCTTTCGTTTAAAATATCACTAAGATAGTATCGTATAATGAATAAATACTGGTAGCTTTATTTGTATCCAAAGTTATGGTAATAAAATATTACTAATGTTTTCAATGTTCACAAATATTTTTTCTATTCAGGCCAGATCATGGGGGAATCGTTTGAATGTTGTCATAGTAGCTGAAGGTGCAATAAACAGAAAAGGTGAACGCATCACTTCAGAAGATGTTAAGAATGTCATCAAAACTAAACTCAAGCTGGATACACGGATCACAGTCTTGGGTATTTTTCTTCCTTACTGCCTCTTTGTAGATTCAAAAATGAATATGAATTAAAGATATGGATAGACTTTTTAAGCATGATTCGTTACTATTCATGTAGTACTGGCCCAGAGTAACTGTGATATATTCACCTTTGACCCATACCTATTCATGTTTGAAGGTGACTTTTAAGTCCTGTGTACTTATCGTGTGTACAGTTGTACAGATATACAAGTGTATATTAACTGGAATGAGTTTTGTTTGTAATGTGAATGAAGTCTGTAATAGCAATGTAGTTGTGCGTGCTTACACATACCGCCCTGGTACATTTTATTCACATGTGTTTGTGTATGTAAATCATGTAAACATCTTTTCAGTTACAGATTAAAGATAATTTACTAAACACGATAACAATCAGTAATGCTATCACTGTGTTTTCCTTCTAATCTAGCTTCTTGGCTGGTGTATCTCCAAAAAGAAAAATAAGTATGATTGGTCCAAATATTGAATTAAACAAAGAATCATTTGTCATGCCTTTTTTTTTTCATTATGAATAATTACTTCAGCGAGTGTCGATTGGAATTTACTGGCGCTTGCTTAATGTACCGACATAAATCTATATCATTTTGTTAGTTGCTCTGTGCTCTGATGAGTCTTCCTTGCTTTAAGCAAATTCTTATGAATTGATGCTATTAAAAATTGTATATCCATAGACTGATACCTGCTTTGAAGTCAAACTTATTTTTGATTATTTAGGTCACGTACAACGTGGAGGGGCACCAAGTGCTTTTGATAGAGTTCTTGCAACAAGAATGGGAGCGGAAGCTACTCTGGCTCTTTTAGAAGCCACACCATCAACTCCGGCATATGTTGTATCACTAGACGGAAACCAGGCTATACGTGTGCCCTTGATGAAATGTGTTCAGGCGGTATGTTTGCTGGGTAATTTATCTCTGAATAAATTGATTGTTTGTAAAGTAGAAATTTAATACTTAGAATAATTGAACATCCCAGCACTAAGGAACCAGCCTTTCCTGCAAGTATGTTTCGTACACCTGTACATTTGATTTTGATTTTAAGATTCTTTGATTAAGTCTTAAATAATACATGTAAATTAAGATTCTACTTGGGTGCAAAAACAGATTTTCCAGCATCTTAGGAACACTCGTAAAATAGATCAGTAAGTCTGACTCAAATATAATCAGTGTTAACCATTGTACTGTTCATAATCTATCCTTGAACATAATTTTATCCACACATTTTTTTTACTTCTCAGACACAAGCAGTACAGAAAGCAATGGATAATTTAAATTTTGAGGAAGCTGCAAATTTACGGGGAAGGTAATTTTATACCTGTTTCTCCGCATTGCAAGTCTAGATTTTTTTTATCTCCATGTGATAAGTATGTGTAAGTCTGCTTAATAATTACTTAACAAAATTTTGTCTGGGGCTTCAGTCTTCAACCTGGCAATGCAATAGAAACGATAGATAGTCTTGATGTTCTCCATTTTATCACAATATTTTATATTACAAATATGTGACAAAAAGATTTAAAAAAAAAGAATATAGCCAAAATTAATAAACTGGCAATGCCCATGTTGGTAAAACAGTTGAACCCTGACGTTTGGAACAGTTAGTCAGGGGCGCAACTAAAACTTTAAAGCGGGAACATGAATTGCAACAAGAGAAAAGTGCCTTTTTCGTGTTAACATATTTCTCAAAAATATCTTGGGAATGGGTAATAGGTTATTTTTGCATAAATAGTGAGCTGGATAGTAGAAACATCTTAATGATATACAAATGTTTCAGAGGACCTTCGTAGAAACCCTGGAACAGCTTTGCCGAACCCCAGGGGTTCGATCAAACCCAGGTTTGGAATAACTGTTCTAAACGATATAACCTGACTTTAGTAATACTTCTTGTATTGAGATTGGAAACCAGATATTCTATTTAGAAAGAAACATGTTATAGTACAAAATATGAATAAAAAAATAACATGGTACTGAGCATAGCACTTTGGTGATAAGCATGCTTCTTAAAATTAACGAGTAACCTAAACCTAGAAATCACCTCTATCAGTTTTTACTGTATTTTTTGTTTCTACCTTTCACACAAGTTTATCCCTTCTTTTGTTTCATCTTTCTTCTCTGCTACATAGTAGACTAGGGATGACCTGCTGCTCATATAACATAGTAAGATCTTGATAAATTTTTAATAGCAGCTATTGTAAAACCATACGCAGATGGTGGTTCATCCTGTAGTAAATGTGGACTTCGCTGTGTGATTAATCATTTTCTTATCTCTCTAGAGTTTTTAAGTAGATTCCGATGAGAATTTCCAGGTGACTATTATCAAAGATATTCTCCACAACATTGGTTATTTCCATCATGTTCTGCTCAACATTACATTGCATTGTATGGTTCCCCTCATTCTGGCTAATGGTGCCAACCTCTTACTCGTACAGGACCTATAGTCCCATATGGTTTGTCATTGTCATTGTTTCATTTCCTACATGCATGTTTGCCCTTTCATGTTTGAATGACCAGACAACTTTGAAAAAAGATTCATATAGCATATAGGAAGTTTACTTACCAAACTTATTTTGACCCCCACACTTGTCGAAAATAATATCTGGAATTTTTCTGATTATAAAAAAAATTGCTCATTTTATTTGATCAATTTAGTTTCACTTATAACAGTACATATCACCATTGTTCGAATCATCATTCATGATAAAGTGCTGAACTTTTGCTTGTGAGAGAATTTGCTGATTTTTCAAGATGGAGGGTGTAGCACAGCTTCCAAATCAAAGTCTAACAGACTAGTTGTCGAAACTGTTGTTTACATTCTGACATTCTTCTTTAATGCAATAATCAAAAAAAAATTTTTGAATTTTTCACATGCTCGATTGAAAGTTGTTAAGCAAAATCTTTATATGGTTGAATAAAGGATATGTATATTGGTGTAAAGGGTTAAATATTTGAATATTGCTACTTTTATAAACCTTGGCTTCTCATAAAATGTTAAGATCAACAAAAATACTGCCTCCCTTTATACCAGCGTTCCCAAACTGTGTTCCGCGGAACACTAGTGTTCCGTGAGCGTCTTCCGAGTGTTCTGTGGAAAATGGATCAAAATTATGACTAAATTGGTCGCCATCGCGATCGTGAAGTTGGCGACCGTTCAATATCGTGTCACCGTCGGCCTAACCTTTCGAGGGTAGTGATATTATCGTTAACTGTCCGCCTAACTTGTTCACTGTCTAGTTCATTATCAAGTTGACACTAATCATTTAGGTATTGCTATATACTATAGGCCAGTCGTTCTCAAACTTTTTGAAAAGTTTGCTTAACGGCCCCCATACAATTTTTCTGATGACCTGCGGTCCACTAAAGAAATGGAAGCAAACAGCAACGCGGTATATCAAGCATTCATATATTGAATGACATTGACACAGTTCAATGAGATGGGTGCTCCTGCTTGGCTCCAGTTCTTCTATCTTGGGTTCTGTTTTGGATAATGCAACTTTCATATCGTAACTCACGCCCATTCTGTTTCAACATTTTGTTTCAATAGCGAGTAATGAAGAAAAAGCTGCGTCACATTCGTAATGTGGTTGCAAATGGATTGATCATTTTAGTGCCATCTCAGCGACATCAGGATAAGACTGTGGTTTTTGTTTTCCTCTGGAACTTTTCACAGCTAAACCAAAATTTGAATCGTTATATCTAAATACGCTCTGATCTCCTGACTTGCCCTATTTACCAACGTTTTTTACGTAATAATGTCTTTGGTAGAGCGTGTCGTGCTTTGGAGAAACACTGTAAAAGCATGACATCAAAATTTTACTTCAAATCAAAGTGCTTCTGCGCCGAGGTTAAAGTTATCTCGCGGTCCCCCTAAAATCGCTTCACGGACCCCAGTTTGTGAACCAATGCTATAGGCAAACATGTGAGGGTAAAAAGTCAGCTCTTCGCCCCCCATCTCTGCCTGATTTTACTTTGAAATGCTGAAAAAATTCGCTAAACTTGATTTAGCAGATAAATAAACTGCAGGTCTGCAGCTCGCGAAATTGCAGCAAAAATTTCAATCTCCCTTGTTACGTAACACCAAAGGCATTATGTAATAGAAAGTGAACGACATAGGAAAAATGAATACCGGTATATTGATTCATATACAGAGCATTTGCAATATGTAAAACATTCATTCATATTTAAGCTATGTTTAACACAATTTTGTTAGTTTTTGCGGTGCATTTGACGACTTTAGTGCGTCGCGGCACACCCTTTGGGAACCGCTGAATTGCACTATTTTACCCTTTCATTTTTTGGTGTTCCGCGAGGCGAGATAAAAAGCGTAAGTGTTCCGTGGCCAAAAAAGTTTGGGAAACGCTGCTTTATACAATCATACTGTGGTGCAATAAATATTCATTGAAGTGTTTCAATAAAATCTTAGGGAGATTAGACATTAAACAATTGTATTCTCCCAGATTTCTTGGATCATCTTCTTTAGAATTCACCTTTTGAGCTGTCCTTGTCCTGATATGTAGTAAAGTCACAGAACCCGAACAATATTATCAGCTACTTAGGGTAATGTTAACATTATGTATCATAATAGTAATAAGATTTTTATACAATATACCAAGGAAGTTACCGGTACTCAATAACTTTTCTATTCAAAAAATTTTCAAATTACCGGTAATAACAATACTTACGTAATGGGGCAAATTCTTGATTTTTTTTAATTAATTATTTCAGAACCTTCATGGGAAATTTGGACATTTACAAAAAACTTGGTGCTATCACAAAGAGCAATGAACATGTTGATAATATGACTAAGGTAATAATACTTCATTACTGTTTAATTTAGCATTGTTCAATCTGGCAGCATTTTTATTTAAATGAATAAAATAAGGAAAATATTAGCTAGATCATGGTTTCCCAATCTGAGGTCCGCGGACTCCTGGGAGTTCTCGATGACTGCACAGTTAGTCCGCAACATCATGAAAATAGTCTGATAGTAAAAAAACATTGCATTTCTTTGTTGAGCATTGTGGACAAATATCCATTGTTGTCAGAATGGACAATTAGAATTTTAGTGCCTTTTGCAACAACCTACATGTGTGAGGCAACATTTTCAGCTATTACCAATATTATGACAAAATACAGGTCAAGACTTGCCATCGTGTCAGTCCTACAAGTTTGCTTGTTCAAATTGCTTTGAGAATGGATAAATTGTGCAGTGAAAAGCAACCTCGTCCATCAGATTAATGTTGTTTTTGTTGTGATGTGAATGAAACATTATCCTTCCTCGTGGATAAGGCATAGAAATTGATAGGATGAATCTCTGTCAAAACTAAGATTCTCTTTGGCATTTCTGAAATTTTAATGGGTTATCACTAATTATCATAGGTGTAAATATGCAACAAAGGTGCCGGCGGTGAAAAACTTGCAATCCTGAATATTGGGAAAATTGTAGGAAGGTATGATCATGAAATGATCATCATTATCAATGGAATTTTCCACACCTAAATATTAAATACACTGAGATGGAGATTCATTCTACAATTTTTCTATTTGGAACATAATTAATTTCACTATATGCTGTATATACAAATCATGTTTCTTTATATACCGGTTAAAATTTCAAGTTTGTTAAATTGAAAAAAAAATTTTACATTAACAGAAACCGTACAATATAGCCATCATGAATGTCGGAGCACCTGCGTCGGGAATGAATGCCGCTGTCAGATCTGCTGTCAGGACTTGTCTCTTTGCTGGTTTTTCTTCAATTGTTATTCACAATGGTTTTGAAGGATTAGAGAAAGGAATGGTGAGCCTTACAGAATTTTGAATAACACAGGTTTAAAATTTTCCAATTTGCTGTTTGCTGTTGCTTAGGCTACATTTTGCGATTCCAGTTTTATTTCTGAAACAGAATGTACTTGTAAAAAGAAGTGGATGAAGTTTTTCTATTAATCAAATAATGCACTTGCGAATGAGCAAGATATTTGATAATTGATGGTGAATCAAATAATGAAATATCCACTTATTGGTATTGCCTTGATTATCGGAGAACTTTGAATCCTCGCATTACTCCCAGGGCATAGAAGACTATGTATGATTTCGCACACATCAATCCAGGAAAATCAGACTGCTAAATTCCAAATATAAACAATTACTTCGTAATTTTTTTTAATTCATAAAATTTATTTTTAAGTTACAGCTTTCAGAACGCAAGTTGATTGTTGTAAAATAAAAACAATGGAACAATGCTCAAGTACACGGGCATAAGGTCCGATGACTAACTTCAATGAGCTAGATGGCCTAAACACAAATCTGAATATTAAAATGCCTAAAATTAAAATCTTAAATCCAGCCACACCACCACAGTAATTCATCCGTATTGGTAAGGCCTTAGCCTAGCATTGGTATCATCAAAAACGTGGCACCTGGCTTGACATAATGCCAAGAAGGTTCGGGATATCAAGTTTGCCCCTGCAGTGTCAATACAGCGTAACTATTGAAAACTATAGAACACTTTCAATATCTACTGATATTCATATTAATTACAGAAATTATTATTGCCTTTACAGTGCCATTTTCTCATTACCATTTACCATGAACCAACAGAAGGAGAAACTGTAAATTTGAAAAAGTTTTCCTTTCTATTTAGATTGAAAGATATTCCTGGCCTGATGTTGCGAACTGGGTCGGAGAAGGTGGTTCAAAACTTGGTACTAAACGGTATGTTATTATTATTATTAGTATTGTTTAGAATTTCCAGAAATGTACATAGGATTTGGGATAGCTATTTTATTTTCAAGATGTTGTGAGTCACTGTATCTTGCCCAGTTACCACTCCAGTTCGGCTATGTGAGCAGTGGATCGGTCAGTCCATCTTACCAGATGCATGGGCTCTTAAGACATACCTGATCAGCTACTATGTTAATCACCATTTGATCGTGTGAGCTCCAGAAGCCATCTTCTATGGATCATATTTTAACTAAATTGTTTTGCTATTGTTATCGCTATAATATCAGTGTCGTTTTGAAGATGAAAATCTTCTCACTCTTTTAAACAACTATGAATCATGCTGGGAAATATACTTTGCAGTTTATATTGAACAAACTTATATGCAGAACAAAACTGTTGTTTCCCAAGAATTAAACATATTGTTTATTTCTGTTCATTGTCATTTTAGAACACTACCTATGGAATGCAACATGGACAATATTGCCAAGCAAATAAAAGAGAATTCAGTTCATGGCATTATATGTATTGGGGGATTTGAGGTAGGTTAATTCAGTTTCATGTTACTATAATAAGAGAACTCAACAACCCTTATATTGTTGAGTAGAAAATGGCAGTGACTTCAAAATAAAACCTCAACGGACTTTTTAGACATTATGGTTACCACATATCACCTAATTTTTTTGGTGCTTTTTCGTTGGTGTTCCTTATTTTCCCCATGGCCAGCCCAAATTTATGCGTTCAAAATGTATGCGATATTTTAATATAATATATTTCTAAATGTCCTTTTTCTCTTCTTTTGTTCTGTGACCCTGAAGAGTACAAATTGCAGACCGCAAACATTCACAATTTAAAATTTTTCCATGGATATATTTGTCTTCATTCTTGTGTTCATGTGTTGTATAATACCTGTCAACCGAGTAATTCAGTCAAATTCTTGATTTTTTCAATTTCAGGCATTCCATGGTGTATTACAATTGGCTGAATTGCGTGAGAAGTATGAGGAGCTATGTATCCCATATGTAGTTATACCAGCTACTCTGTCAAATAATGTTCCTGGTTCTGATCTCTGCATTGGATGTGATACTGCTCTGAACACAGTCACCGAGGTAATTACCTATATTTAATACTGAATTGCTAAAAACAACCAGAACTCATTGTAATAGGAAATATAATTCTTTCCCATACCCTTTTTTCAAATTATTAAATTAGTATTTTAGCAAAATTTTTTAGCAATTTTATTGGAACATTTAGTTTGATTTGATTTTATCATAGAGAGTTTGTACAGTAAATACTCATTCAATTGAATGCCACTGTTTAGAGTCTAGCTCTAGTCCAGGGTGGTCCAAGATTGGCAGCTCAGCGGGCCACAAAATTACTTTTGCATTGTTCGCGGGCCACAATAGTACCAAAAACTTCGCTCGTTTCACTTCGCTAGTTGCCTCAGCAAGCCATAACACTAGTAAATTCAGTGACATTAGTGATGCAACAACATGTTAAAAGATTTTTTGGTTAATATTATGACGAAACAACACGAAATGCGATTTTTTGATTCCTCCCTGAACGTGACGCGGGCCACATGTGGCCCGCGGGCCTGGGTTTGGACCATCCTGCTCTAGACCATAGAAAATGTAAAATGTGGAGCTCTCAACTGAAGTAAAATGAGTATTGAATAAGATTGATCACAGATGTGCTAAGAGCTATAAAAAGGTTTCCTGTTGCTAAACTATTCAGATATCATATTTGTATTAATTGTTTATTTGAAATTCATTTTGTTTTCACAGACATGTGATCGCATCAAAATGTCAGCAAGTGGAACAAAGAGAAGAACCTTTGTTGTTGAAACAATGGGAGGTTATTGTGGATATCTTGCCACAATGGCTGGTCTGGCAGCAGGTGCAGATGCAGCTTATATCAATGAAGAACACTTCACTATAAAAGACCTTCAGGTTTATTTTTGATACTTTTAACAAACTTCGGAATTTTGTCTTTCCAAAACAGAGACCAAAAAATATATAACCAGACTGGTAATGCAACTGGCAACAGCACTTCAAATAAAACGTTTTCTCCTTACTTTATGAAATTTGAGCATTTATGCATATAAAGTGTAGTGTATACTATGAACAGTATCATGGTTCAATGAGTCAAGACCCATGTCCAATGATTTATGATGAGACGAACAATAACCAGAAGGAATGCTGTATATAATTTATATCATAGAACGATTTATAAAGCCATACAAAATATTGTCAAAACAAATTCTCTGGAAAGGGTACTTCCGTAGTATGTATACCAGGTTAAGGTAAGGTCATAACTTTATTCCGATTTTCAATATTTTAGTTCTATTACGAGTTCGGGGACTATACCCCCTGCCCATAGGCTTCTTCCTTCTCTTCACACAACTTGATGTAAAGTAAGCGACCAAATTAGTTACTTCCTTATTGGTACACATACTTCTGGAGCGCCCTAAAGAAACATTATTACCAAATTTTTACATTTTGAAAATTTTAGTGTCTTATTCAATTTTTTGCAGGCTATGTTACAATTAAAAAGTATTTATATTGCTAACTTTATTATGTTTTTTTTTTGCAGAAAAATATCACTCATTTAAAGTCTAAAATGATCAGAAAAACACAGCGAGGTCTAGTTCTGAGAAATGAAAAAGCAAGTGAAAATTTCACAACTGATTTCATATATCATCTTTATGCAGAAGAGGGGAAAGGTGTTTTTGATTGTAGAGCAAATGTGCTTGGACACATGCAGCAGGTTTGAAGTTTTTTTATTGTCTGCAGGCCTTTTTTACTCTGCTGATAAATGGTAAGTCTTTTGATATTTTTTTAATCAGTACTGGCCATGATTTAGAATGGTAACTGATCATAAGACTTTTCTCCTATTAAATTTTTGAATGACATAAATGTGTTGAACTGCATGATAAAAGGACTCAAATTTTGTTTAATCTTTTAGAAAAATTTTTATGGGTGCCTGATAGATGCGACTTTATTTCTTTTATGCTATATCACCAATTAATGACATTCACTGATGACTCCTAATCGAAGGAATGTATTTCGGTCAAAGCAAGTCTAGCCCAGGGGTGGGCAAGTTTTTTGGAGCAGGGGCCAAAAAATTTTGCCCACCTAGACTGGCGGGCCATGTAAGTGTGACGTAAAGTTACATTTTATGAACAATATTTACAGAGTGACAAAAGCGAAAGTGGAAGACAATAAGCCTCGTGCCAAAACTAAATTTAATCACGATCACAACAAATTCCTTGAGCTATTTTTAGCTAAAACATCAAAATTTTGTTTTAGTTTGGTTGTGGCATCATCAGACGGGCCAGATTGAATTACCCAACGGGTTGGATTCAGCATGCGGGCTATAGTTTGCGAATGTTATGTCAAGCCCGCCATTAAAAAATTTACTCCAAAATATTGAATTTCTTCCTTTTTTACTTTAGCCCGCAATTTAGCTTGTAATTTAAATTTTGTTCATTTTTTATTTAGGGTGGTGTTCCTTCTCCATTTGATAGAAATTTTGCCACTAAAACAGCGGCAAAGGCAGCTTTTTGGATTGCTCAACAAATACAAGAACATGTCAATGAAAACGGTTAGAGAGATAAAAAATTTTATTTATCAATTTTTTTTTTTAACTTTTTATGCTGAAAAATGGAATATTGATACTGCAGTCTTGATAGTGTAAAGTTAAATACTAATTTACTTCAAAATTATCTGAGATGATGTACACTGTGCTTATACAAATCTTAAATGGCTGGATCAAAAATATGTTGGTTAGCTTCCAGCAAATGAATGAGCACTCTATTGATGCAGATGACATGGCCATGTCATGTGGGTTGATGGGCATTCATTGACAAAAAATAAGAAGTAGGTAGTAATTTCTGATTTATGCTAGTTTCACCCAATGAGAGAGTGCCCAGTTTGGTTCAACAAAAAAGTTTTGATCAAGTAAAAGCTTCAAATGAGTTTATGTTCTTTCCTAAACCACATTCATTTTATATCCACAGCAAAATCTTTTTGTGCATTTTCGAATACTTTGCATTACTACTACTATGTAGTAGCTTATGTTTCCTTCGCTTCTCCCTAATTTCAGATCGATTGGATGAGAATTTGTGTTGCCATATTATTAAAAAGACATTTTATTTTGATGTGCAGGCAAAGTAGAATGCCGGTCAGAGGAATCTGCTACTCTGCTTGGAATGAGGAAGAGGACAATGGAATTTCAACCGATCCAACGTCTGAAAGAGGAAACTAACTTTGAGTAAGTTTGATATTTTTGGCGCAGCTTTTATATGAATATAGTCATTGTTTTCAATGTTGTTTTTTAACATAGCTATGCTTGAAAGAATGGCATTTCAGCACTCAGTAACAAATAATGTAACAGACAGAGTAATGTAACGAGCATTCATGTGGCCGAATTTTGGGATCTATTCTGTTAGGACGGAGGACATAGATGATTGGCGTAGTAAAAAACCTATTCAATTCATTTCTTACCAACAAATCCAATCTTGATTCAAATAAAAAAATATATAAAATAACAAGTTTACTATTTTTTCGCAGTTTCTCATGATTGTAATTTTTGAGATTGAGATTAAACCAATTTGGATCATATATTCCTTCCACCCACCTAACTGCAAATGTTCTGTATTTTCATGATTTATTCATTGAGTTTTATATTTTGCTCTCATCTAAGACAAATATTTGCTGTTGCTTCCTAACTTTTGAAGTTTGAAATTATTCTAGATCTGGTAATATTTTATTTGAATATAATCACGGTAACTAGTTGGTTTGATGGTCCGTCTTTTTGTGGATGGTTTTTAACGTGACTCTGTTTTTAAACAAAACCTCCATCCGTCTCCCATGTTTGTATTAATTTCATGTCAAGTTTGACGACAGATGTGTGATGTGAGCTATGAATGGATATCACTGTGAGGTTTCAGTTATGGATTGTTTTGTTATTTATATTATTGTACTATCATCCTAATTTTTCAGTAAAAGAACTCCGGTGTCTCAGTGGTGGTTGAATATTCGACCTCTTCTACGTCTCATGGCACATTATGTTGATGATACTTCTAGTTATGAAGCTGAATCTGCTACAGAAGTTTTTCAACAATAAAAACACCTCGAATTTGCAAAGTAATTTCCATAACTTATATTGTCCTATTGTATTCTGATTCTGCCAGCCAGTCTAAAATTTTCCATTTCTTCATTTCGAAAGCTTGCAGCTGTGTGTTGCTATAAACTGTAAATTTATTGATTAAATAATGTCTTCATTGATAAATCTCAGTTAATTCCAATGTTCAAAAATTTTATATATATTTGATGATTAAAGTAAATATTTGAAAAAAATTGTTTCCCTGAGTGGACCTGTTAATCTGGGAGAAAGAAAAAATAGGAAGCAGGGAGGGGGGGAGATTACTAGTTATTGATGGACTGACTTTTGACTTGCGGTTTGGCTATATTTTGTAGGGTGCTCCCATCCACATTAATTTATGCAGCAGTATATTGAGATTCAATCAGTGTATTTTAGCAATGCCATCGCTTATTGAAATTATCTTTGAGAATGTAAAAGCTGACGTATATGTAAACGCGTCACGTTGATACTTATATACACCTAGTACGCATCCACACTTGCAACATATATCTGCAGCTATAGGGTGACACAAAAAAACAAAACCTGGGTCGTTGACTCGTTTTGAACATTCATGACAGAACATAGCTTTTGTGCGAAGCGTCCCAGAAGACATTTGAGTACATTTTATCTCACCCCTGTGCTATAGAATTCTGGCAATAAAGTAAGCAACAATATTTCAATTTTGCACTACTGAAAATCTGAATCTTTTTTTCTCTGTTACTTTTGCTCCCAACAAGGAACGAGCTGCCAATGTAGATAAAAGGGAACTTTACTTGGAAAAATGGAAACTTCCCGTTTCGTCATTGCCTATCCAATTTATTACACACTGATGTGGTGGGCATGGGATTTGAAATATTTACACCTCCGATTGCATCGAAGTTTGTCTATAAGTGGTTTGAATATAGGTGCGGGGCTAGTGCAGGAAGAGGGTTTGAAAGAGTAGACGACGAGGCCGTCCCCCGCAGCTCCTGATAGCTCGCTTATCTGTGTCCGTTAACGCTTCCATATAGTGTGATTTTTCTGGAGAGAAATTAAGTAGGGCTGGGAATTTCAGGGAAAACACGTTAACCGGGTAATCGCAGCGTGACGTTTGACGTAATAATTTATGATTTTAGCTTATTACGTGACAATGGTTACAAAGCAATTTCGTGTGATTAACTCTCAAAATATTCACTAATCGAGATAGTTTCGCGATCGCTCTGCTGCAAAATATATGCAGCGTGCTTCGCGCATCCCGATTCCGTTATCAAATGTCATTTATGTGACAAATTTTCAGTGTTCGATGTGCAAATTCTGCTTTGACATATCATAAAGAAAAACAACATCAACTGCGCACATTAAATAGACGATTTTGCAATAAAATCGTGAACAATATCTTTTACCGTAAAATTATTCTGAATTTATCATTGTCAAATTTTCATAATCAGCAATCTTGGTACTTCAATTATTTTTCACATTTAATGGGTACTTACCAGCAGGTAGTGATATTCTTTTGAATTAAACGGCACATGGGATAAATTTACGATGACGTAATCATTTTTAAGGAAATTGTACATTATAAAGATGATTTGTACCGGAGATGTCAGTTAACGGTTAAGATAAATCGTAACCGTTAACCATCTGAAATCGGTTAACCAATTAACCATCCCCAGTCCTAATAATGAGGCTCAATCGCATGATGAGCCAGAACAGCAGCGGACATTTGCTACAGTCATTTCATTCCGGCGGCTGGCGGATTACTCGCCTACCTGTATCCGTACAGATAGGATAGCATTTATATATTTATCCCGTTTTTTTTTAGCATTTTAAACGAAAATCAGGCAGAGATTAGATGACCTTTTGCCTTTATTCCTCAGGCTCACATGTTTACAAACTTTAAATGACATGAAGATTTTTTTGAAGCAACATTTTTTTCGAGGAAGTGCGCCGTGAATTTTTTTTCTCTGATAATTTGGTGCCGCACGAACAGAATGTTTGGCAACCGATGAATTATTGAAATAACACACTCACGATAATACTGATGGCATGTATAAGCTTCTTCTATACCTGGGATGGCGAATCTTTTTAATGAGCGGGTCATAATCGTAAAAAATTATATTTTTTTATCACGAAAAAAGACGATGGATCATAGATACCTAACAATGAGAAACTTGCTGTTACATATCTTCTGCAAGTCATAAAACCTTGTTGATATAGGCCTTGTTGTTTTAGGCAGTAGTTTGTGTAGTTTTTACACATGCAGCACTTATATCATGACAGAGGTGATTTCTGGTACTCAATTTTACAAAATTCATGCGCGAAAACATGAATCCAATGTCATGGCTACGTTTTTATGCTATTTTTTCAATGGTTCGTAAGAGGTTGGAAGGAAATTCCACCCTGGTGGAATTGTATTTTTGCATCGCATTTCAATCACATTGAATACCATCCAGCTCAGTTGTTATATATCTAGTCTGTTAAAATTTGTTTTCCAAACGGCATTGCATGAAAGCAATGGTTGTGAGCAGTGGTGGGATTCAGTCGGTTTGCACCGGTTCTATAGAACCGTCTCACGGATTTTTTTGAAATCAGCGAACCAGTTAGCATTACTAATACAATAATAATAAAAAACTAACACTTATAATATATGACTTTTTTGTAATAAAACCGGCTGACAAAACATTTGAATCCCACCACTGGCTGTAAGCAATAGTTTATTCAAGCAATGACAGGCAAAAGCTCGTATTTCCGGCTACGCTCTAATGCACATACTTCGCGCCGCCTCCTTTCCGCTCTCTTTGGCTACTCTACATGTTGTTTACGCGTACTACCAGACATAGGCTACTTTATGCATAACTTGACACGTATAGGTTGGATAGATATCACATGCCATTGCCAATTTCAGCGCATTAGGCATTTAATTAGCATATCATGTGTTAGTGTGTACGGTACACCCCTGGTACACCCTATCGATGTGGTACACCCATTGAACTTTTTGGTACACCCTGGGGTGTACTATACACCCGGTTGACGAGCACTGATGTGGAGGCAATTGCTTGGTACAGTTAACAGTACATGGAGTACTCGCTTATGAAATCTATTGACTCTGAATGAACATCACCTGAATGGCTGTATATGCATGTTGAGTTAGCTATGTATGCATATGGCATTTGTAGTATATATATGCATATTTAGTTGGCTGCATATGTACAGGAGTGCTACTTCGAAAACGGCGAAGCTGTCAAATATCTAGTGCGGTTCGTCGGAAGCATTCAACGTACGAATAGTCACGTCACTTCACTACAGCCTACGTAGGAAACCAGATTACTCGTGGTGCTTTTGGTATGATCGGCGCTAAAGCGGTCCCTTTCGGGGGTTACGATCGCATCTGGCGGAGAAAATTATCTTCAAAACTAAAATTTCATAACAAATTCATTTTCTGTCATGATAACGTTTTTGATATCAACAATAAAATAAATAAAACTGATGAAACTAACAATTTCCATGTTTTTCTAGTAATAATTCAAAATCTATAGGCAGTTTCAAAAATGGCTGATTGAATTTAAAAATCCAAAATATGGCGTGGCAGCGGAAGCGTCGCAAAAATTGCGATTTCATATATAGTGGAGTCTGAACCTTGTTATTTAAGTTGAGATTTACGGAATTTATTCAACAATTATAGCAATAGAATAAATGTTTAGAAAAGGCTTTTTCTACTTTTCGGTTTTAGAAGAGTGAAAAATTGTACAAATACTGGGAAATGATTTCCGATCAACTGTATCGCCTGCCTTGAGATCATCTTCTGTCGGGTCAATATCTAATTTCGATGGATCAATTGATAAAAAGCTTGTAGCAGGCTGTTGACTTTGCTTTTGTGCCCACAATGGAATTAGGAATAATGTAAAAGTACTAAGAATCATTGGAGAACCAGCAAAGTAGAATGCTCCAGAATAATCTCCTTCTATATCTCGGATAGCACCTGTAAAAAGACGTCGTTTCTTTTATTAGGTTCAATTTGATAACGATCAGTTTAATTCTACGTTATTGATAAATAGGTAGGCTACTTAGTACAGTGCAATATCGATTGTCTGTATGAAAGTTTTCACATATCTAAGACGTAGATTCAGTCAGTTCGTAAGTGGATGCGCTAAAGTTGTTAGTCGAAACAAACAATTTTAATTGGAATATCACGGTTTTTACTTCACGGTATTATCATTCAAGAAATGGAAAGTTTCTCATAAACTTTAAGACGTATTTTGACACAATATTAGAACATAGTCTGCATTTATTGTTCAAGCCTGTTTTCCTGATCAGGTGTCCATAAAGCCAAGGGCCTACAGATGAAATTTAGAGGGTCCATGATCTTCGCATGCATTAGTTGAAGGGAAAATAGCAAAACGAAATTACTCGACATTGTGGTCTGAATTGTTATCGCAACTATAAACCAGGCAGACAACGCAATATTTTGCTCGTATAAACAAATATTTTTTTTAACTAAGGCAAAACTAAATGGACTAGTTGTATTCAAAGGGATTCTCAACTTTCGGGCAAATTAATAAATGATTTTATGGAAGGGCAGAAATTGGAACCTCGGGTTTAGGCTAACAGTAGGCTAATTTGTTTTAGTGCCGTATTTTATATTGGATCCTCATTATTACCTACTACAGAAGAATAACAATGTGTAAAAACAACTTATGCTTCATACACCCACCCGCAATTGGAGGCCCAAGAGCGCTACACGATATTACAGCAAGAAGACATCCCCATGCTATTGTCATATTTTCGTTTCCAACAAGATCCAGTGTCATCACGGGAAGTAATATCTCTATTCCACCGTCTACGAGTCCCAAGATAAGCACGTATACAAGAACGCCGCCCTCCGACGGAATGCTGAAATTCGTTTAAAGTTTCATGAAAATTACCACTGTAACAACAATAATAACCAAGGTAATCGTAAACCCGTCGTGGTCAAGCTTGGACAAATGCGCCATTGCAATTGTTTCAATAGGGCTGAAGGCTGTAAGCTACGTATTGACAATCGCAAAGCAATCCTATAGCATTCAATGTACTGCATCAACATTTTAAAAAATGTTCAATTTCCTATACATGCTGAGGTGTTATTATTTCGAACGTTTGCTTATGCCAAAGATATGTCTCGGTCCGCTGTTGAAATGAAAGTAGATATGTTGCCTGCATGAGTCTCAATAGTGCTGGAGTGTAAACAGTCAAATTAACTTATGTAGCTCTTAGTGTGTCAGCTCTGCAGTTAACTGTGCCTCTCCCATGAATTTTTCCACTGAACAAGAGAGAGATGCTCAAATATGTGGACACGAAAACTAAAACGATGTAGTATACGGTATGCAATTTTTCACAGTAGACTATCGGTGCTGCTGACTACCAGATGGCAGCAAACGCGGAACGGCCACAAGATGCGCATTTTTTAATTTTGATGACGATGAAAGGGTTAGTAACCGAATTCTAGGAGAATTTCTATGAAATTAAACTTTCGTTATTAAATTAATTGAGATCACGTTAAGCAAGTGAGATCTTGTTCCAAATAGCATCAAGATATCTATGACATGGGATAGTGTTAGAGCAGGGTGGTCCAAGGTTGTCGGCTTCGCGGGCCACAAAATTATTTTTGCATTGTTCGCGGGCTACAATAGTGCCAAGAATAGGTAAACAGTGCAATACGAAACAAACACTATTATTGTGCAAACACATAGTTATCAGACATAGCCATCCCAGGCTAACAAAAATTCGCATTCGAATTTTAGTTTTCTATGATGCCTTTATTGTTAGCATATATTCCCGACCAAAAAGATAGAAAGCTAGATAATAATTTAGACTGCCAAGCACATCATTCAACTTCGCTAGTTGCCTCAGCTAGCCATAACACTAGTCAATTCAGTGACATTATTGATGTAACAATATGTCAAGAGATTTTTCTGATAAATTTTATTACGAAACAACACGAAATGCGATTATTTGATTACTCTGCGAATGTGGCGCGGGCCACAAATGATAAAGCGGTTGAGAAAATAGTTGAGAAAAAAGCAGATGCTGTTATCACCCAGCCCCATCCCCCGTTAGGTGTATCGTCTTCTTTTGAATGTGTGTTCAATTGTTCGTTTGGCTGTTGTGTAGGGAAATGTTGTAAGATAAGAAACCTATACTGCGAAATAGCGAGCCTCAAGTTCTTCATATAATCATTTATTGAGCCAAAATTTCAGAAAAAGCATGGCCTGACAATTCAATGCATAGATTTTTTCATGAATTTACATCTCTCGTGTTGTTCCCGCTATTTTTTGCGTTTTTGTTTTATAACATGATTATATAGTAATATTTAAATATAGGGAAACTGCTCAACCAGTTTTTTGTTATTTGAGGCATAAATTAAATTGCATTTATTAATAGTGCTGGAGTGTAAACAGAGAAATAAACTTATGTAGCTCTTAGTGTGTCAGCTCTGCAGTTAACTGTGCCTTTTCTATGAATTTTTCCGCTAAACAAGAGAGCGATGCTCAAATATGTGGACACGAAAACCAAAACGATGTAGTAGGGTATGCAATTTTTCACAGTAGACTACCGGTGCTGCTGACTACCAGATGGCAGCAAACGCGGAACAGCCACAAGATGCGCAATTTTTAATTTTGATGACAATGAAAGTGTTAGTAACCGAATTATATGAGAATTTCTATGAAATTAAACTTTCTTTATTAAATTAATTGAGATCACGTTAATTAAGCAAGTGAGATCTTGTTCCAAATAGCACCAAGATATCTATGACATGGGATAGTGTTAGTTAGAGTAATGATTATATTGAATATTTGTACCTTGGAAATATGATGTTCGTCAAGCCCATAACAAGTGCGCTTAGTTGTGACATATACAATCGATTAACTTTTGGTGAATCCGCGATGTGTCCGAATAGCAATCTACTGATACCTGACGTGATTCCCATCAAACTGAGCATACTCGAACCAAAATCACGATCACCGCCGATATCGTTAACGTGTTTAACCTGCGTCAATTGTGGAAGAGAATAAAAAATAATAAATTTTTGGTTCTATTGAATTCAGATATATATTACAAAAATGCCTTTGAAATTAACGTGGAAGTTCACTGAGTAGCGGGGAAGGGAAATTGGGAAGAAAAAAAAACGGGCCCAAACTTACCAAATGCACAAACGGCACCAAGTACCCCAATTTGCATAAACCAACCGATATGGCCCAGATAATAAAAGCTTTGTTTTTCCACAAAGAAAGGTCCATAATGAATCTCTTCGCGGGAGATCTTTGAATTCTTTCCTCAATTGTTGGCGCTGGCTGTTCGCAAAAATTTGGAGGCCTGTATGGACAAAAATGTAATCTAACTAGCTTCGTTTATCTGCAATGATTTAAAAGTACGTTTGAAAAAACTAAAATAAAGCTTGAAGATTGAATTTTTTTTATCTTTTTTATTATATATACCATAAGCACTTCGCAATGAATGCATTTCGTGCAGAGCAAATAATAGTCACAATTTACATAAATATAAGATATAAGTTAGTACAATTATCATCAAATATACATCCCAAATGTTGATTTGCAAAATTATGCACCGCAAGAGGGTTCCTCGTGTGCGGTTACAAGTGATTACCATAGAGGCGAATTACGATTGTAAATTCATTTAGTCCGCGTGATACTGGCTCTAGCATACTCAAGTTGATAGCTTATTATAATATTTATCGGCAGTTAAGTATTACCTGTATGTCAAAGCGCATAGAAAAGTTATTGATACAATCGCAGCTATCATTCTCAGTGCGCTACGCCAACCAAGATGGTACGTGAGAAGATTGTAAATAGGAGCCATGACTACAGTTCCCAGAGAACTACCACAAAAGACAATTCCGGTTGCGAAGGCTCTTCGTGAACTAAGAAAACAGAAAGAGTATAAATGTCAACAGTGTGGGAATGTGTAGGGTGTAATTTTTACTTTATCAAAGTATTTATTTCATTGGAGACTTGTTGCTTATTACTTTCTTTTTTGCGAGTGTTTCGTGTATTTTTGACGTTTATTGTAACATTTATTGAAGAAGGAATACAAACTATTCACAATCTTCAGCTATTTATTGTGATTTTATTTATTTTTAGATTTTTTCATTAAAGATTTCATTTTTAATTGTTGGCTGATGTGAAATCGATTGATAAATTAGTATTCACCTGAAGTATTTGCTCACAATAACAACACCCTGCATATAACTCAGACTTGTGCCAAATCCAAAACCGAGACCATATGTCAAAGATAACATATCGATAGATGTAGCAAATGAAGACCAAAGCAAGCTCATCGTTGCCACTCCAACACCCACCATGGCAACAACCCGGCAACCAAATTTGTTGGACAAGATACCTCCTACTGGTCCGAATATCAATATGCATCCAAAAGCAATCGATCCAACTGTTGCTATTCGAATAGAAAAATAAGTATTCAATATTGCTTGATCTTCATACACCGTGGTTTACACAAAACCAATAGCGACGGGTTGTAGTAGTATATAGTAGCCTATGATTCGAATAAATAACCGAATGTATCGGGGACCATCAATGCTTATTGCTTTTAGTATGTCCCTTCTCTTCCAAATTCGATAGCTATACTTAGGTAACTATTGCATATAACCACTTGGGGGGGACATTGGTTTACTATTATTGGACAAGTCAGGCCTATTCAGGAGAGACAATAAAGTGAAATAGGGAACATTCGCTGTATATCAACTCAGCAACCGGTATGTTTTCCGATTAATAATTTTTCACCAACCTGCTGGAAGAACAGATATCAGATACCACAATCTACGATGTATAGCGCGACCTTATTGACTAATAGACAAAACAATGAAAATGTTAAAATGATTTTAATAAAATGAAAACGAAGTTCAGTAGTATTGAGGGCACACCGCACTGCTAACAAGAAAATATTTATTTTCGTTCGTTTACGAGTGCTGTTGCTGGTAGTTTTATTAACCTATAGTCATCTATCACAAAAAAAATGAGAAAAAGTCCTTTACGTACATGTTTTGAATAGCGATTCTCCAAACTCGTGAACAAGGTCAAGAAACAGCAATCCGAATATATTGTGAGTCCCGATGATAATTACGTTGAGAAAAAATGCAGATGCTGTTATCACCCAACCCCATCCTCCGTTAGGTGTATCGTCTACTTTTGAATGTGTGTTCAATTGTTCGTTTGCCTGTTGTATAGGAAAATATTGTAAGATAATAAACTTATACTACAAAATAGCGAGCCTCGAGTTCTTTATATAATCATTTATTGAGCCAAAATTTCTGCAGAAAAAGCATGGCCTGACAATCCAATGCATAGATTTTTTTTCATGAATTTACCGTACATCTCTCATGTTCCCGCTTCTTTCTATCTTTTTGTTTTATATCATGATTATATAGTAATATTTAAATATAGAAAAACTGCTCAGGTATTGATGTTTGAGACATAAATTAAATTGTATATATTTATTTAATAACAAGTTAAACCAATCACCTGCATAAGTTTTAGTAATAGGAGTTGGAACAGACAGAAATTTGAGACAAAATGGCATGTTTTATGAATGCCTATAGGTCGAATTTCGACAACTGCATGTAACTGCATAACGTGATACTAGCATACATACCTCAATGTCATCTTCGGTACTGAAGTCAAACTGTCTACCCGGAAAATCTATAATGACCATTTCCTCATCACAAATAGTAACCGATCTCTTTTCTGAACTTTCGTCTGCAGCCTCATACATTAGTCGAACAAAACTAGGGCTAACTTCTGCTGGCTTTTTTAGTATGGAAACAACACCATCCGATGGCGCAGTGAAGTCTTTCTGTAACGTATATTTTGGAAATTTTATACAAAAATAACTAAACTGATATACATATTCTTTTTACAAATGTCACTTTCGTTTAGTATATTACGTTTATCAAAAACCAAGCGTGTAATAACGATTAATGTGAGAGAATGAAATAGTTTGATTTTTACGCGTCTGATTTTAGCTAGTTATGTCATTCCGTTAAGACCGTTATATGTTTGCGACTGTGATTACTCGATAGCCAACTAGTTTCATTAAATGCAACTACTATCTTAAATGCTCCCCCAGTGTCTGATGCAATTGCTGTGAGCAATGAAGTACAGTATATATGTCAACGTAAAACACGTAAGTCTATAGTTTCATGTCAACTTTGTTTAATCATATCTACAAAACACTTCTTGAATGTTGCTTTTTAATCACAACCCCTGACATTGTCCTAACCTGAAGTTTTAAATTCTCTTACTGACCTTAGGTGGTGGAGTGCTGTGCTCATCGTTTTCAGGTTCATTTTTTATGCTTGGTATCTCATAAACTTTGGATATTTCTTGCGTTTTGGGGGCTTTAGACATTTTGAACTTTCAGAATATAGGCCTACTGCGTGCAACGGATGATTTGTTTTTGGAAATATAGGAACGCAGTATCTATCGTTTGTGACGACACAATACATTTAAAAAGTATGGAAGTTTCGGGAATTTTATGACATTCATTTACTTGATGATTTCGAGACAAATATACTGTAGGCTACATCTTGCTTAGGAGTGAAATTCTGACCTATCGCTGTTTCCCAATTCCAATAGATCGCATTTTAGCCTATTTGCGCAAATGAGCAACATTATTGTATTATGGTCGACACCAAAATGAATATATTTATTGGACACGTAGTGGACATAGCGATCGTTTCAATATTATGTTGTTGTTGTTGTTCTTGTTCTTTGACACATTTTTAAAAAGTCGCTTTTCTCTTTGATTACTGGACCAATTGCTTTGAAACTTTCAGTGGTTAAAGATAAAAATTTCTTCGGAAGGCTATTACTTTTTTTGCTATGACGTCATCAAAATTATTGCCATTAGGTGGCGCTACGTGTCCATATATTTGAGCATAGCTCTCTTGTTATTCATAATCATTGACCATAGCCAGGCCGAAATTGGGGGTGGAAGCAATTTTTTATCGTATAATGACGTAATACGACGCTTACTCACTGCATTTTGCTCCGAACAAGGCTAGATAAAAGCGGCCACTGATATCTAACAATATCTTAAAATACTCTACACAGACTTACTTCGCTGCCGAAGTTATCCAAGGTATACGAGCGCGCATTTTCATCTATCGTTCATATGGCGAAAGGATTATTGATAACAAGCCAAGAAAAGTAAGTTTTCAGTAAATCGTTCAAGAATTGAGTAAAATGGCGTTGAAAAAGGCGTGAGAAGGTATATCTGCAAATGCTCTATAATTCCATTAAAAAAAATTAAACGTGGGGGTCTGTGGTTTGCATAAACTCCGTGCATATTTTGCTGTTCGTTTGGTTTGGCATAAAACGTATGCACCACTTATGGGATAATTTGGTTTGGTTTATTTTGCCATCTGTGTAGATTTAGGATAAAATATCAAATCTCTTACGTAGTTTGGTTTATAGATAAATATAAGAGTTGGAATGCCCGGGCTCATTTATCACTGTATTGCTTGTATTCCTCTGCTGTTGCTTGTAGGCCAACTGCAAGTATTTTCACAATGCTTCCGATCTCAATAAGACAAAGAAATACACATGTATACATACAATTTCGTGGTTTTGCACTCTTCTTTCAATTTGCCAGTTTACAGCTTTTTTCAAATATTTAGGGATAAATCAAATTACTCAATGGCCAATTTCTCTTATAGTTTTGTTACAGTGATCATCAATTAGTGGAAAACTACGTAAATAAACGAGTCTGAAATTACCTATCAGTAGGCTATTTTGAAATGGCAGATGGTTTAAAGCAGGGGTGTGCAACCTTTATTACAGGAGGGCCAGATACGGCGTTTCCCCGAAAATAGGACAGTGTCTTATTTCAATTTTCTTCCGAAAAATAGCACTAGGGCTTATTTTCGGGGATGTGTTATAATTTTATTCATCAAAAACAAAATTAAAAAGTACAAATTTAGGAGATTTTCAAATATGAAAACCGATATCCATTTACTTTAATGACACGTTTTCCCATCTCACACGTTTAGAATAATCATTTAAAACGAATGGGAAAGATTTCTTGCTATCGACCATGTAAAAACAATTCGCGTTATTGACTAGGTCTTGTTTTAAGGGAAAGGCTTATACTGAAATTATTCTTAAAATTCAGGCTAGTTCTTATTTTCGGGGTAAAGCCGCGTGCCACACCTAGAAACTCTACTGACAAAAAGCTCTGGATACGAAAAATTCAACTTACGAAAATCCTACTTGTAAAAATATTGCTTCAGCTAACGTAAAATTTTCGGTAATCCCGAGGTATGTGAACCAAGATGGCGGACACTGGAACGTATTATGTGTACCAGGTTAGAGTTAGTCTATAATTCCAGGTACAAATACAACGGGAGTCACTTGGCTAGTGTCGGAACTCGTAATAAAACTAAAATAAGAAAAATTGGAATAAAATTATGGCCTAACTCTAACCTGGTACACATGCTACGTTCCGGTGTCCGCCATCCTGGTTCACATACTTCGGGTTACCATATCATGTCCTAGTTTTGTGGGGGCTTAGAACGGATTAGGGAATATATATGTAAAAAGCTCTCTACTTTCGGAATTTTCTACGAAAGGGGCTTCCGGAACGAATTAATTTCGTAGTTTCGGTTGTAGAAATGTTGAGTTTAAACGCAAAAATTTCTAAAGAAAACTGCTATTCAAATTTATTGTCACACCGACATCAAACGAATCAGTGAGAACACGTTTTTATAACTTTTGCTAGCCAGTTATGCTAATATGACAGTGGCACTCAGGCACTGGAATAGACTTTGCACGTACCGGATTAACTAAAATAAAAACTGGTTTTGCGGCAACACCATTCAAAATTGTCACTTCTTTGCGGGTCGCAGTTTGCACACCCCTGGTTTAAAGAGTCGAACCAAAGCAGAACCAAAGCGATGGTTGTGAAACAGTAAACTATTTTGCAAGCGCCAACTCGCGAAATAAGCATAATTTTTGCTATGGACATTTCTCCGACCTTAGAACCCAGGGTAACTCTCTTTATTATAGTAAAAATTTTGATATATACTTATTTCGACCGTTTTTTGAGGTCAAAGGTCGGGTAATTTTATGTGGTCGAAGGTTTGGGAATGTTTTACAGTGTTGCTTAGTTACCAGATACTAAGTTTATTGTAGGTCAGGAGACATTTTAGACAGAATATGTTTATTTATTGCGTTTACTTTCCACGCGTAAATAATGTTCACTTATTTGTACAAATTTAAAAACCATTTAAAGATAGGACCCTGTTTCAATACAAATTACACATTGAAGTAGATATCCAAGTACTTTCTCAATATAACTAATTAAACGATAAATGTGCATTCCACAAACGATTGAAATTGTGAAAACTTATCGAAAACCGCCAATGACGGCACCATTACTACACAATGGGGTGATGTAAAAGCTTTCATAGAAAAGATTTTATGAGAACTGCCATGAATACGATTTATTTATAATAGAATAGTAGCAGCTCGTTTTGACATGATCATACTGAACATACGGCCTATTTTTCAATTTCGAGCATAAGACATTTAATATAGGCTACTCACAAGTTTTTGAATCAGTAAGAACACGATTTGTTCAATACATGTATGTAGTCCACACATATGATTCCCTATGTGGAAACTTTTGAATATTTGGTCCAATTTTAAAATTTGGAGCTTTTGGGTTTAAGACTTATATAATGAAATAGGTCACAAACGGGATTACGGAATCTGATACACAAGGTGGCAAATCAAATTTTCGCAATGATCGAAAATGAAGGAATAATTGAAACTTGTTGTAAAAGAACTGATAATTTTTACTTTTTTATATGAAATAGTTTAAGAGAGTCATCACAAGTTTTGAACAACTTCTGTTAAAGTATTACCTTTTACCGTCAGCGATCTTTAGTAGAATTGGAGAATTAGAGGAAGCTTGATGAAACCATCCAGCATCGCATTCTTCGATTCTAAACGGCCTATTAACATGTTTCTCTGCTTAAAATGGCCTCACCAACCAACCTCAAATTTAATGCTGGATTTTGAGAGAATCTCATGAGCTATACTAAGTGTTTGTTCAATGCTTCGAATTCCAATAAGTTAACTGTGAAAGTGGTCTATGGCATAAGTTCTGAAAGTGCTCTACACGGAGCCATTCGTTTACTAATTAAAATACTGACTTGGCGGATTATGTGACTGCCCAAAGAAGCAATCACGTCATAATGAGATTTGACAACGGTAGCGTCGAAATATGGAAACAAGGCGCTAATCCAATATGACATGATCTATTTTATAAGTTCCAATAGATAATTTTTATAAGTTTATTGTGAGTTCATAAATAATAGTCAACCACTCCACGGGCTCCTTGACATCAAAATTAAAAAAACAAGAGAGCTATGCTCAAATATATGGACACGTAGCGCCACCCAATGGCAATAATTTTGATGACGTCATAGCGAAAAAAAAAGTAATAGCCTTCTGGAGAAAAATTTTATCTTCAACCACTGAAAATTTCAAAGCAATTGGTCCAGTATTCGAAGAGAAAAGCGACTTTTTAAAAACGTGTCAAAGAACAAGAACAACAACAAGGACAACAAGAACAACAACAACATAATATTGAAACGATCGTTATGTCCACTACGTGTCCAAAAAGCGGAGGCTATGCAATGGTGTTAGGTGAAATGAGCCTATGGAAACTATCTTTAATTATAAGAGCGGCTTTGGGCTAAGAGCTGATCGAGATCTACTCGGTTATTAGTACACGTGTAAATAAAACATGTCCGTAGCTAAATTGTGAACTGTCATGTTTTAACATTTTTTAAAAATGTTTATGACGCCATAATAAATTTCCACAAAACCATAGTATATTGTGACGTCATGAGTGATTTTTATAGAGCTCATGACATCATTTTTAAAGGGCGCCCACACGAAATGATGTCGGCCTAGTATATCTTGCCTAAACCATGGATGGCAAAATTTTTTCTATGAATCGGTCGAAAATTGTACTTTTTGTGGAGAAGACGCCTGCGGGTCATGGATTTAAGCGATGTCTGCGTCAATACAAAAAAAAATCCTTGGTTGTAATTGTGTAGTTTAGCTTTAATTATCGAAAAACCTTTAATAGTTCACTTTCAGTTAAATTGAATTAAGGCCAGATTTATTATCAATTTATCACTGAAATATTAGTGTGTTTTATATATTAGTTCGTTAATTCACAGGAAAAAAAATTGTGGGCGATCCATAAAAATAACTTGAATTTCTTCATAGGCATTACAGACTTTGTGTGTGTAATATGAATTAGCAATGTGTTTTGTGTAGGTACCTTTTTTTTCACTCTAATCGCTATTCGAAACCTGATCAAATACGTACAGTATTATAAGAAATCTGTAGGAACACTCGCATTTATGCGTGGGAATTTTCTACGATTCTGGCAATTCCAATTTTTTCGATTTTCTGCCGCGCACATTTACAAAGAAATTTTATTAGGAAAATTAGCTCAAATCAAGGTCACATGCATTCACTAGCCTATATTTAAAATAAAGCGTAACGAAGAAGGTGTAGTAGTTTTAGTTTAGAGTAGACTTTCATATTTGTCGGAGACTCAAGAAATAGATAATTACAAGAACGTGCATAAATCAAGAATTCGGAAATATCGCAATCCAATTAATACAGTAATATGGTGAACTGAAATAGCATGCCTATATTTTTATATACGGTATTTCCCGGCGAATAAGTCGCTTTTATAGACCCAAATTTTGGCCTTATTTTGGGGGGGTCGTCTTATTAGGCAGGGTATGATAATTTTCATTTTATTGGTGTCACCTTATTATGTATTAGGTAATGTTCTTTTATGGTAGACGCAATCGCGAGTTGAACACAATTAGATTAAAATTTAAAGACAGTTTGAATTTCCGTAGTTATTATGGTTCGAATATTACGCTACAAGAAAACGTTATTATAGGCTATTTTAACCAATGCGCAAACGCGGCGACCGCTTAAAAGGCATTGCGTGGTAATTTGAGATTCCTCTGTTGATGCGATTTTACCATCTCGACTTAATGGCAGGTTATATGCAAAAACCCATTTTTTCTGGCCTAAAAACGGGTCTCGTCTTATTGACCGGTTAGACTTATTCGCCGGGAAATACGGTATGTAGGCTATATACAAACTGAGTTTATTAAATTTACTAAAAACACGCGAAAAGACGGAATTATCATTATTTGAGCATTCCAATCTTTAAAATAGGGTTTACTACTTGTTTTATTTAGATAGGCTTTATTTTCTTACTATTTTAAACTGAACATGTAATACGATTTTTTGGCCTCAAGATTGAATAAACTTCACCATGCATCGATGTTGACTGAATGCAAACATACAATCAAGTTACCCATGACCTCCAAAAAAATTACAACACATATGACTTAAGGAATACATGGTTAATAATTTTATACCTGGATAGCATATTTAATCTGCTCGAAAGTTCCAGATTCTTGGATAGTAAAGTTTCTTTAAATTGACATTGGGAAATATGTTGTCACAAATGGATATGAAAGCATGATGTAACTTAATAGGATTTGGCTGTTTAGTCACTCATCTCATTTTGATTGTAGTTGATGAGTATGGTGAAAGTTTATCAGCATGAATCTTGACGAAACAAAATGTCACCTAGAGCTTGCAAATTATGAAACTCAAATAAGAAATAGGGATTTGGCATCACTCAGATTGCAAACTCGCGTCACATCAAAAGTTCTATCTGGAAATGCAAGTGCGAAAAGCAGCGCGGAAATGCATCTCGTACCTCCATTGAGACCATCTAGTAGTACTGGTCATGAAAATCGAAACTTGTATTGTCAAAGTCTTCCTGAAAATGCTTTGCTTCAAAGACAAGTTTCTGGTAATAAAAATGCTATCAACTCGTTAAGAAGTGCAGAAACTGCATATATGCTTGCTACGGGAGATATATTTGTTAAACCAACTGACGTCTTTAAAGCAAACAATCCTGAATCTAATAATATTTCAAGACTCTCTAAAACTTTTATTGAAAGTGGAGAATTTCAAAATGATACAGCTTCAAAACAATCTGTCACTATTGGAAATTTGCTACAAGACATTGCAGTCACAAATACCATGCCCAGAACAAAGCAATTAGTGACACCACAAATCGGTATGGTTGATTCGCATACAGATAAAATAAAATACAGACAATCTTACAATGGAAGAAATTATAGTAGAAATATGATGTCTGCTCATGGTACTTTTTCTAGAGATCTACTTTCTGGTAAAGATGGAGATTTCAGCATCTATTCCAGTAATCTTCATAATCAACGAGTGACTCCTTTTTCAAAATATACATTTGCGTCTAGGAATGATTCCAAATTATCATCTCATAGTGAACAAGGATATGGTAGATTAAAAGGATCTTCAAGGCGTCCTCCATCAGCATCATCTTATGCGAACTCTAGAGTACAAAATAGTTATGCTCATAGAAAATCCAATCTTTCAGAATTACCTCATGAAAGAAGTTTACAGATCACCACAAGTAGAACTGAAGAAATGCTTAGTGCTGAAGAAAGTGTTCCATCCATATCATTCCGACAAAAATTAAAAAGTTCCAATGGCACAAGCCCAATTTTAGGAGTTACGAAAGCTATCCGGCAGCTTGGAATTTCCGAAACGAAGATGCATGCATCTAGCGTCCCTCAGACTGATAGAATGAATTTTAAACATCCTGATGGTAAGAAACGCCGGCCTCAAACTGCAAATTCGAAAAACAAGAAGCATCTAGAAAGTTCACCTTCTGTTTCATCACCAACTAGCAATGGAACAGGAAATTCCTATTCTGAAATACATTCCAGGTATACTAATATTTTCACTAAAAGTAATAATATATGGCCATGTAGGTAGGCTACTATGGTGTTCTGTATAATGATTGGAATGCAATTGAATTGTTTTATCTAATGTTAACACAGACCATTAAGTGACTGTCTAAGGGATGCCATTCAAGGAAAGTATTAGGAAAGCTGGCACCCCGAGCTTTGTAATTAACTTCAATATTTCATATGAGATATCATGGTTTTAGCCACTGCAGACATAAGAAAAATTTTTGAATTACTGTTTATTTTATTCAACATAAAATAGTTTTCGAATGTTTCATCAGGCAGTGATGTAACAAGCTAAAGTTTTCACAATTTTTTAAAGTATGTTTTAACATTTTTGTCAGGAAAATTTTCCCCTTCTTTTAAAAATTCTCATGTGATATGTGGTTTCACTTTGTCACCAGATCTATTGTTAACTATGTTGGCAAGCGAATTTAGTTACCTGTTCAATTTGTATACATGTAGAATAAAAACTGCATTTTCCTCTGAAAGTAACATCGATTGCTATAAATTCAACTTATGATAATATTTTATAGTATAATAAGGTTGAATGGATTCACATGTAAATCACATCCAATGCAAATAAGTTTCTTTCATTTAGCTTTTGTTCTCTCTTGTTCGTTTTAGTTTTTCTGTTCCTCCTGAAGAATGTCTTTTAGACAAACTTTAACGACATGGACTGGCCCAAATATTCGTTTAGTGAATTGAATAGTAATATACTCCAATGCCACTTAACTATAAGTATACCTGGTAACTACAGCAGTTACAGGCTTAATAGCTTGCCTTGAATAATAAGAAGCTAGCATTTGGTATTCCGAATTCAATTCTAGAGTATTTTGAAATAGTAAATTATTCTGAATTGCCCATCCCTATGGATGGACAAAATATGGTTTATATATTTGTGTTTCAGACCTTTGGCCGAGAGTCCTGATTTATCAGAAAATTATAACGATGAAGTCTCTGTACACATGCAAGATAATGCAGATAACGAAACATTAGAAAGTGATTTTGGAACAGAAGTGGTTAGTTTATCGAAAGCTCTATTAGGCTACTATTTGAATACATTTTATAGCCCTATATCAAGTATGCACATATTGTTTATGATCCACTTTCACGATAAAATTAATTTTAAATTAGAATAATATTAAAAAATGGTGTAATTGTCATTCATTATTATCCTATTTTTGATATAGTTTTGGTGTATGCAACATTCATCCCGAAAAATAATCTTATCAATTGTTGTTTTCATCTTTGAGTGAACTAAATATTTGTGAAATATACAGCAATGTTTTAAAGACACAAATAACAGAAAATAACACAAAATATGCTATATTGGTATTGTAGATTAAACTTCCATATGAAAATACTGAGCACGAAATGAACTACTCTTTGGTTAGCTACTGGACATTCAAAAATGTATTGTAACTAAAAATGTAAAAAACCAAAATGTATGCTCGATGATTTTCTTCTCAAACAATAATATTAAAATTTGTTTGTTTGTGCCACTTTTCATTTTCTCTGCTCAGCTAAGATTTTAATTTATTATGGTTTATTTAGGGTGTGAATGCATTAATGCGTTGGAATAATATATTTGTGGTTGATTACTTTGCCTGACTTGTTATCAGTAAAAATATATTGGTCGTCGCTGTGAAAAAAATCTTTTTTCTGACACATTTATAATTTTTTTTTATTTCAGCCAGAGGAATCTGGATGTCAAGATTCTTACTGTTTGGATGAAGATGATGGAAACGACATTGACTGCTCAGATGACACAGCGATAAGTTGCCTTGAAGATGACAATGCTGCAGAAACTGAGGGTAACAATTTTCTTTTTATATATACTTTTTCATGCTTGTCGCAAATGTCGTCTCATATTTATTTTCTTGAATATTTTGTAAACTGCATGAAATTTTTCATCACTGGTTAGATGTAAAATTAAACTAACAATTTTATCCCAGTCTTATGTTAAACTGTTAACTTACAGAAGCCCACCGTTTACCATACCATTGAGCCTCTGAGCAAGTACCAATATTACAAGAAAGAAATTTTTGTTATACCATCTGTGATTACTGACTAGGTATTGGCCATTAGTAAAGTGTTTAGTAGTCCTAAGCATTAAGAAATCTAAGTGGGCTGAGTCAATGAAAGAGGCTAAATAGGGATGATGTCTTTTTATTATCTTGTTATAATTAGAACTAGGAAATGGCCACGAATCCCTATTCTATATTTACAAATTGATGAATTACAAATTGACAAATTACAACTAGAGGTGAATATCGGTACTCTTATAGAGCTTCGCACAATCAATTATCTTGTCAAACTTGGTCATGCAAGATCTTCAAAAATATATTTCGTATTTCCTGGCCTGGGTTAATTAATTTTATAACTATTCTTGAGACTAAAGTGTCTGCCCATCACATTATTTAATTGACTTCGTACTGCCAACCGTTATATGTTCTATTCTTTTTAAAAACTTTGTGGCAACCAAGCACTTCCTGTTTGTGCCCGATAGCGATAACGGTTGGGTAGTCATAAAGAAAAAGAAAACGGCTACCACCAGGTACTTCAAAAAGAAAAGGGCCACCAATTAGATAAAGTTGATTGATTTTTGACCCTTTGGTTTTGCTGATTCAGGGAAAAACCACACAAACCGGAAAACATATCTGTTAAAACACAGCTAATTATATAAAATTACAAGCGCATATTAGTGCTCAAGTGACAAACAGAGAAGCAATTTTTCTTCTTATTTCTACTTATTGGAGGGCTGTATGAAAAACCCCTTTTTTGTAGTGCTGAAAATAGGCACAGATTCACATTTGAGATAATTTACTTTTTTAGTTGGTAACCTCTCAAGACTAGAAATTTAATGTTTTGTTCAGTTGTACACTTCAGATGTACACTTCAGATGTTCTTAGGATAGGATCGGATTTACATATTTATCCCGGGGGAGAGGAGAGCCGATAAGACAGCTTATCCATATGGCGAACCACGGCCTCTCGTCCGGTTACCATTCCAAGTAGGGTATGGGATTAGTTATATTGTTTGTTTTCGGAAGCATGGACTTAGTGGTGGAGGAAGCCGTAACCGACCAGCGGTTACGTGAACCACCCAACGACGGCGAGGAGTCCAGCAATCCTCTCGCACATACCCATCCCTGCATGGGATTCGAACCCGCGAACCCACGCAGAGTAATTAAAGGTGCGGTGGCGAGCGTATTCCTAACGCTTATCCCGTTGAGCCGCACCGCTGTGTTCTTATAAACACCTTCAGTTGTATCAACAAAGTCTGGGCAATATCTGCTCGAGGCCACAAACGATTCATGTACAAAAAATTTTTCCCTTAGTACAGCTTGTGATCCTATATTCTATAGTTGGCTTACTCAGAACTTTAAAACCTACTTGTTAAAACTTGGACAGTATTAACTTGCAGCATCATACCTCAATTGTTTTTGTAGAAATTGAAATGTTAGATTCAGTTCGTACTTGTAATTCAACTGAGGGATTGGAAGAAGAGACTTTCATCAAGCCTGCAATGATAGATAGTTTATTCAGCAATTGCTCTTCTGTGATTAACTTTGGTACCAAGCATGAGAAAGGTATAAAATATATACATACATTGATTTTTTACTTCAAAGTTATTTTAAACCAAATCATCTTATTGCCTTGCACAGACCAGACTGATGTTGTTAGTGAACCTTATATTATTTATAATTAAGTTGAGAATAGACATGGATTAATAAGGATATTAAATTTATCAAGCACGGACTAAAATATAACTAGGATTGGCAAAATATTTGGATAGCAAATCTAAATGGAGGCCCAAAATATTTTTCAAGTTAAGTCAGATTGTGTAATTTTCCATTTTTTTATTTATATATCTTCAACATTTTTGTAGTTGAACAACTTCCCGCCCATTTTCGAAAACTATTACGCTGGAAAATGAGTCCGATAACTCCAATCGTTGTCAAGCACACTGTTGCAAGATCAGGATTTAAACCATCCAAAAGTAAGTTCTCTAAATATGTGTATATCATGTATTTTGCATTATCTGGTAAATCTTATCAGTTATCACCCTCATCAATATATCATTTCTTCAATTGTTTATCATCTTTTAATGTCATTACTTATTATATTTTGACCAAAGTACCGTACTCTGATTTTAAGTCCCAAACATGTTCTCAGAGTCTATAGTTATGTTTCCAAAGGTCTATTTTATAATTACGCATTGCCTTGCTTTTCCATTTGAAATAAATATCAGAGACTTAATGCTTCAGGATGATTGAACACATTGTTTTCTTCTCAGAACATCATGACTGGGTTGGTTACTTTGGAAAACACATGAAAGCAAGTGGCTTTAGGTCGTTGAGGCAATATCAAAAAGTAAGATTGTTGTTTGAGATTCTTTATCATTTTACTTGAATAATAGACTAAATGACAGCTATTGTTATTTCTATTGTGACCATTTCCTATTATTGGATCATGTTCTCGCAGCCAACCAAGAACTATACTCAAGTAACTCAACGATTAGATAAATGAAGTAGTTTTAGGGAAAGAATATGGTTATATTAACATCTAATGGTACAAGTAATTCTTTTTTTTACGACGTTCAACTTCATAATGTGAACTGAATTAGTTGAAAAATTTTATATTTAAAATATATCTATTCTCTCTTTTATTTATTACTATTATTTATAGAACTTTCATAGTATATAACCCTTTCATTTGCACAACTTTGTTTCAGGTAAATCATTTTCCTGGATCATTCCAAGTGGGAAGAAAAGATAGGTTATGGAGGAATTTATCACGGATGCAGGTAACTTCAAGGATGAACCAAACAAAATATTATTTCTTATATGGAATATATAGTAATTGTATCATGTTCGATGATAAAATTTTCATCTATCATAATCATAATATATTATATTTGTGGTGATTGACCCTTGTAGTGCTGAAAAGTTTGGTCAGGCTTGGTTTTTGTTTGGTTTTCACATTTTTCAAATTAGAATACAAAAAACTTGAAATTTTAACTATAACTATTTCCGAAGGCTCTGCTGTGTGGCGCATTGTGCTAAATATCAGGAATACATACCTTTGATTACCCTGCATGAGGATGTATACCAATCCTATGGGAAATAATTGGTGAACTTCTCGCCGTAGGCTGGTTCACGCAACCGCTGTTCAATTACACCATTAAGTCCCAACATCTGAAACAACTGGCTATTTCATCCCATATCCGACCTGTTTCGTTAAACAGACAAGAGATTGTGTTTGGCCATATGATTAAACTGTCTTGACCTGGATGGCATGTCATTCTGGGCATGGCAAAAAGTGATTTATCAAGCTGTCGTTGTCAAATCTATTTTTTTTTGTCAAGCTTCGAATGTTTGTATGCAAGATCATATTTCAACATTTTGTATCATTTTACTTTGGCATGCCGACTCAATCATGCTATAACTGATGAGAAAATGATTTTGTCATATTGTTAGTCTTATCGTAATATTGTTTGAAAAGGCAAAATTTGGAAAGAAAGAATTTGGATTCATACCACACTCGTATGTTTTACCATGGGACAAAAAATTATTGAAGTCAGCATGGGAAGAAGGTGGCTCAAAACAAAAATATATAATCAAACCGGTAGGTAAACACATTTATGTTATCAACCATAATCCAAGAAAATATATTCTACTGTAATTCTAATTCTAGAAATAGTTGAAACACATCTGTAAATTTAAAATTTTTAGGAATTTAGATACAATTCCTGTTATGCTCGATTCCGGTTACGCCACCAGGGATGTCAAATCAAAGCCGAATATTACAAACTCTGAATAGCGATTTTAGTGTTCATAATAATATCAACCAGCTTGTACAAATTTCCGCATATAGGTTGCGAATTCACTCCTTTATCATTTTTGGCGCATAATAACCCTCGTTGATGATGATTGCATAATAAATTTTGCGTTTTTTATTTAACGTACAATTTGGCCGGCAAACATTTTTTTGTGTATATGGGGGCAAAAGTAAGATAGAGATACAACGAAATTTAGCTTACTGATGTCGACTGGCCAAATAACACTCACGCTGGCCATCCCTGCTATCAGCATCACTCTGCAACTGATTTGATTTAAATATGCATTCAAATTTAACTTTCATTTATCAATGGGTTAGCCACGATTTTTGCAGACATCCTCACTTTCATTGCCAATATTTATCTCTTAGCCTGCTTCAGCACGAGGTATTGGAATAAGATTAGTTCACAAATGGAATCAAATTCCAACAAAGAAACCTGTTCTCGTGCAAAAGTAAGTTTTTTTGTTTGTTTTTGAAACATTTTATTTATGATATCACTATTGTAACAATGATTGTATGCTTTTAACAGATATTTATCTCGTCCGTTACTGCTCAACGGCTACAAATTTGATATTCGTCTTTACGTTTATGTTACTTCGTTTGATCCTCTTCGTATCTACCTCTTCGATGATGGCCTTGTGAGATTCGCTACAGCTAAGTGTGTTTGAAATAATATCTAGTTTTTGATTTTTATGGAAGTAAGTTGGCAAGCCCCAGTCTGTGACTCTGACATAAGCTTATCATTTATTAGAAACTGTAACTCAGACTCCTGCTATTGTAATTGAATGATTATAGCTTGCCTATATTATATGTAGGGTTTGATCGATATATCTGGCTGCCAATTTTCTTCATTTCCTCGTTTTCTTTCCTCCAAATATTTCATTCATTCATGAGCTTCCTGAATTTTGACAGTTTCGTCATCCCCATCAATTTTTCCAATTACTAAACTGACTTGGCATGGTAGTGAAACAGTTTTTACATGTTTTGCAATGTTCAAATGAATAAATGTATCAAATGGAATCCAAGCATAAAATGCTCGATTTTAGTAAAAATTCGTACTCTATACTAGTGCAACCTGCGGCCCACAATGAAAATTTGTGTGGCCCTTGTAAAAGTGTCAATTTGAAATGGTGTGCAATCCACGAAACTAGTTTTTTTTAACTCAGTGTAATCTGGTATGTGCGAGTAATTCCAATCCCAGAGCATTCACCTGGGTCTAATTTATTATCTATGCCTATGAGCTATGACGTTACAATGCCTAACAGCTGACTTGTGCGTACTAGAAAGCCTATGTTGCTCTTTACTTTTATTACAATTAAATTGGGTTTGTTCAAAATTTTAGGCACAATATGGAAAAATGTCTGAATTATGAAATTACCACTAGCAGTAGAAAACAGTTAGGCACTAAACTAAATTCAGTCAGTCAGTCAGTAGTTTATTTTATCACATACCAAAAGTATACAATGGACAAACAAAATTACGAACCATATAAAAAATATGTTTCAGCGTGACGGGAGACGCGAAAAACCAGTGATGGTTATCGAGCAGCGTCACCTATGAGGGAGTGAGACTAAAATTATATCATACTGAGAAAAAAAAGGCAAACTTAAGATACTAACAAAAGTCGTAAATAATAATACACATTTAAGCGACCTATATCCCGGTGTCACTCCACTCAATAGATTAAATTATTTCATAAAATTTGATTTTCTGTTATATTCTTTTTATTTTATTTAGATATTCTTCTTCTACGAAGCATTTGCCAAACAGATATATGCATTTAACAAATTACAGTATTAATAAGCATTCCGGAGATTTCCAGCAAAATGATGATGTCAATATTTGTCAAGGTCACAAGTGGTATGAGAATAACAAATTGCAATGTTTAGTAGATGGATATTTCATATTATCATACCTTGGTTTATCAAGTTCAATTAATTTCATTGAATAATTTATATATCATCTACTGTTAATGTAAAATCTCTCAGTAAGTTAGAATGGCAACAGTATAATGAGGTCTTTTAATCAGATCTGGGGATCTGGTTCAAGAATCACTGTATCTCCGGCGCCAAAATTTCATTTCTTTACGTCGGAACTCAAAAATAATATTTTAAATTCGAATTTGAAAAATTTATGAGCTGAAAAGGATAGTTTTTATTATTTGTATGAAGTATTAGGAAATTATAGATGCTAAAAAAAATTGGAAGGTCAGGTGCTGGAGCCACTAGAGAGTTTCTGGTATATTATGTGTCACTATAATATGATTTTCAATTTTGCTTTCATACCAAACAATATAATTGTTCCTGGTAATTAAATTTTAGTTAGAATTTGATAAATAAACTTTTATAGAAAGTCTTTACATGATTCAGTTTTAAATCATTGTTGTGGATCAAATATTTTGTCTGATTTTTGTCTATATCTTGTTTTGCAATTTTTTTCCATAGAATTTATTCTATATCAAAATAATCCAATTAAGTGAGTTGAACACCTAAACTAGACTTAAAGTAGTTATCTTTATTTGATTTTTATCCTTGTATTCTTTTTGTAATGAATTAGAAACTGAGGACCTTGATTCATGCAATCTGTAAACTCAAGCATTATTAGAATAAATATGAAGTAAAACACAACACAAATAATGTTACTATCTTAAATATAAAAAAAGGCTTTCCTTATTCACTCATATTGTCACACTACCTATCTCTGAGCAAAGATATAGGCTATCAATGAAATGCCAACATTTGAAATTATATAGAATTATGGTCCTGCCAAACAACGAAATGCTGATAAATAGCAGACTTGGGAGTAGTTCAAGTTAGTACATATCAATTCAATTACATAGCTGTTGACAATTCGTTTCTCAGGAGTTTGAAAGCACTTTGGAAATTTTTACAAACAGAAAAGGGGATTAATACTGACAAAATATGGCAACAAATGAAGGATATTGTCACAAAGACTCTAATAAGGTATGGTATGATTTTCATTTCTTAGGTAAGAAACACCTCTGATAATATTTTCTGTTGAATCTGGGCTGAACAGAGGACTCCAGCATTCATTGTTATTATAGTTATGCTTGGAAATATTATTTTCAACAATCTTCGATATCCATGTTCATTTTGAATGTATTGTCTTGGATTGGTGAGGGGGCTGGAATCGGATCTTTTTGTGATGATCGGTGATATTACACCTTGTCATTTCAATCAGTGTTTCCTTAATAATTTTCACTTCATCACTGTGCAACTTATCGACGTGCCACTGCAGAACATGTAAATGATTATTGTAAAATAAAATTGATTTAACTGATATTGTAAGTTTAAGGTTTCTGATATTTTATGGTAAACAATCTGGAGCAGAAAATGCACAACTGAATTTTGAAAAATTTTAAATTTTATTTGTTGAGAATGAGACTCATTATGACAAAGCAGTTGAGAATTTTACTGGATTTTGAATGTGTCATTATTTCCTAACATGTTGCAATCCAACATTTTATTATTTCTTGTTTTAACATTAAATTAATCTTTATTTTAGTGTTGAACAATTTATAAATAGTCTTGTAAAAGCAAATTGTAGAAGAAGGTCATGTTGTCATGAACTATTTGGTTTTGATATTATGCTCGATGATAAATATCAACCATGGATTTTGGAAGTTAATATTTCACCCAGGTAACAATTTGTAATCATTATCCAAGTCAATGTGAAATATCATAGGCACAATAATTGGTTTTGCAATTGGCTTCTAATTTTTAATTAACTTAGATTTTTCAAAGCTCTGGTACGCAGCCAATGTTTGGCTCTACAGTGTATTTATTTGGTTGAAGTAAATTTTTATGCTATCTAGGATAGGATTAACATATTTATCCTGGGGGAGAGGAAAGTTGATAAGGTGGTTTAATCGCGGCCTCTCGCCCGGTTACCAGTCTATGTTGGGTATGGGATTAGTTAGCCAGGTATTTGTTTTTGGAAGCATGAACTTGATGGTGGAGGAAGTCGTAACCGACCAGCAGTTATGTGAACCACCCTATAGCGGCAGGGAGTCCAGCAATCCTCTCTCTCGCACATCCCCGGATGAGGTTTGAACTTGTGAACCCATGCAGGGTAATCAGAGGTGCGGTGACAAGCGTATTCCTAATACTTAGCATGATACGCCACACCGCCGAGCCATCTATCATTTTTCTAAGATATTTATGCTTGGTTATTATTTTCATGATCTGATTTAAAAATTTGAATAACTTAGCTAGTAATAACTTCAACTAAAAAATTCTGACAGTATTTAGAAATAAATAATCTCAATTTCTGTTTGTTAAGTTTGCATTCAAACTCACCATTGGATGTTGAAATCAAAGGACAGATGGTATCAGATATGTTCAATCTGGCTGGATTTCAAATTCCAGATAAAAGAGAGCTCATGATCAATACACAAACTACAAGTAATGGAATGTAAGACACCATGCTTAATTTCTTAGAAATAAAATATTATTGACATCAGATAACCGGAACTGATTGTGGTTTTTCATGTATGTAATGTGCCTACCATAAGTTGCTTAAATTTTTTTGGCAATGCTCAACTAAAAATATCATTTCAATGGGTTTTTGTCTTAGGCTTCGAAAGTGTAAAAATAATGCTTACCGTAAATATATATTTTTCGTTGTGAACTATTCGAACAGATGGACTGTTTTATCTGCTTCTTTGCTATATGTTACTGTGTTGTTATTTTGTTGCATTTTGTAGAGTTTCAAATTCTGGTTCAAGCTTCAGTCAAGACAAGAGAAAAGAAAGTTTAGAAATAACTTGCGATACACGGGCCAAACATACATATTTTGCTCGACATTTTAAACAGTTTGACGAGGTAAGAAAAATAATAAATCTCTTATGTGATCTGAATAAGAGGCAAATTTCTATCTAAAACAGTATCTGGATGAAAAGGGCTGGTTGCACGAAACAACAATATTTTGATTTATTTACAAGGAAGGTTATTTGTTGTTGGTTGTTGTGTTCATATTGGATAGTATATAAACACAGCTTTTAATCAGATAATAACTGAATAATTGAATATTAAAAAACAAAGATATGAATAAATGGCAAGCTTGTAATGTGGGCGCAGAATGTAATTTATTATTTTATAAAAATTGAGCAAATGAGTCGATGGATCAAAATGCAACACATTTGTTTCATTTTTTTAGCAATGCTAAGTACGCAAAGTGATATACAGTTGAAGAGCAAAACTGTTATTCCTGTTAAAACTGTTTCATATACTTTTGATAGACTGACGTAACCACTGCACCAGTGCATCAATGTCACCCCTGCTTAGCCAGATTTATCAAATTTTAAATACCGGTAGTTACCACAGAAAACGTGTAACAACAACAAGCAATAATTTTTGATGGTGGTGCAAGTTAAAAAGCCAGGCAATTTGAGTCTTGATATCTCACAAAGAGCTTGATTTAGTATTAATTTCAGAAACTCAACTGTAGTCTTACCCATTGATTGATCCATATCTAATTTTTACTCTTTTATACAACCAAACATGTTTATTTTCTAGATTGAACTCATGATGATGATGCTTGATGTTTTAACCGTAAATGATATTCAAATGTTAGTTGAAAGCGAAGATGAAAACAGTAGAAGGGGAAGATTTGAACGAATTTTTCCAGGAGCCGAAGAGACACGGTATGGGAGATGATTTGTAAAAAAAGAATTAGCTATCTAAGGTTTTTTGTGTCTCAGTGAAATTTTCCCCCTTTTGTCGTCAATTCTTATAATCTGATACAACTTGTACATCATAGTTATAGTCAATACATCACTGACCATCCCCATCTGCGTGCCTGAAATTTTGAGTACTTCGTCATAAATTTGTAGTTATTACACGATTACTTTCGCATTTGAATGATGTGTTATATTGAACTTCATTAAAAATATGACCAGAATCGACACTGGAACCGTAGAGCAAAATTGTTACTGGGTCCTTCAGCAAAATTTACATTTACATGCTCTCTGTTGCAGTAAAAAGAGTATTTTTTTTTTTCTTTTACTGTGATGTACAAATTGTATTAACTGTAGTTCAATTAAACCAAATAGATGAAATGTGTAATAAAAAACTGAGAAAAATTGACACAGGTTTAAATACTATACTTGCCACAATACTAGTAGTATTTGGCTTCAGATCTAGAACCTAGTATTTTTATATTTCACATTCATAGCATATTCGCCGGTGACTGTACATTTGAACCCACGTACATTTAACCCATGTGTATATCCGCGGGTTCAGTCTATATGTGGGTGCTAAAACCCATGGGTTAGGGTTAGTATGAGTTCAAATATCCATAAAGCAAAAAAAATTTCTATAGGTGCAATCGTCGTGGGTTCAAATGTAATGGAACCCTATTCGCCATCTCCGGAATTTTTCAATTTACACAACAAGTTGTTTTACGACTAACTATTTTGACTGCCCATCAATCTTTATTACAATTATTTTTTTTTTTCACTTTTAGGAAATATATGCATTATTTTGAACAACCGCGCTACAATAATATACTTTTACATATGTGGGAATTAAAGTATCAAAATCAGAAACAAAGAGGTGAGCAGTATTATTGTATCATATGTCATATTATGACTTATATATCTATAGAAATACTTAGAATTGAATACACAATTTCTATTATTGAAAAGTTACATATGTTTGTCTTTGACGACACAATGATTCTTATTTATTTAATATGAGTGTTGTGTGCTCTTGGATTTTATCAACCAGATGTGAGACAATAGGTAGTAACCTTGTTTCAAGTGCCCTTTTAATTACCATGCAAACATCCTTTATTGAATGGAGAGCTGTTGTTAGGGAACAGTATATTATTAAAGAAACTGTTTACCATTATATGTTTTTAAGGCTAAACATAAAATAAAATTGTTCACAAATGTATGTACTGTATTGGGTCAAACAAAACTTCATATTCTGCACAATTTCTCCTAGATTGAGTTGCTACAAAGTATTATGATGTTACGATTAAGACAAGCTTGTCACTCAAATGTGGGAAGCCTTGGGACGACGCAAAATTAAATTATCGAAGTCGTACCAAGCAATCTTTAAATAGCAGTGTCCCTTCAGCACCCAGAAATATTCTTGTTTTTGACCTTGCAGTTCATGTTATGTTCACTGGTGTAAAAAAAATGCAGACGAACCAATAAACATGAAAAAATTTGTTGCAATGTTTTACTTGCCTTTATTAATAATTGAATTTTACATAACAGTGATATATTATCATAATATGCTTTCAAATTTGCCACTTCTCAAAGCCTAAATAGGTATAGTTAACAGGCTTACTGATTTTCCCAACAACACTAAAAAAAATTTAGCAACTATTCTATATCTACACTTTGTTGGACAGTCGTTGTATGGGACCATGTTAACAGGCATAGCTGATGAAAAGCAAAATTAAGTGTCAACCGTTCACGTCCTCACAAAAAGTTTCGGGGTTTGACCCCAATGTATTTATAGATGACTTTTACCTCTGCTTGTATTCGTATTGTATTAGGATATGGAAGCATGATTTTCAATACACAATTAATTCCCATACAGGGATTTGCAGGCTCATATTTCATGTGGATGAATATAATGAAATAACTATTGTTCTAATACCTATTCATCTGCATTCCAGTTCATAGGATTAGCCTGGCTAGAGCAAGTAACAGGAATAAGAGGCTGTAATTCACTATATCTGTGGTTCCCAACCTTTTTTCAAGCAATCCAAAATATTGTGACCCAAGGATATGCTCGAATACTAAATGGCATGTAGTATACAGCAAAATTGAATGACTAATATAAAACAAAATGAGAAAATTGTGCTAGTTTGCCCTCAGAGAGATTTTGAGTGACGTGGTTTTACCTAACCAAAACAAAATAAATGCTGCAGAGTTTTTACACTGTAATACTTCCCACATATACAATTACTATTAAGCAACACTTCCATACTAAATATAAAATGAACAAAAAAATTATCTACAAAAATAAAATTAGTAACCTTTAGTTTTTTGTTGAACAACAAGCAACACAAGAACATTTTGGGAAACACTGCGCGATATGACTGAGCTGTTTTATCCACTTTTCTTATCTTCAGCATAAATATGAAAGTTTATTATTTCTTATTATGCAGGAATATCTTTACTTGAAACATTTTGTCGACGAGGTCTACATTTATTGGGGAATTCAACTCAAAGTACTCGATCTGTCCCTATGGAACATGTCTGGACGATGTCAAGAACAAGCAAGCTATTTTCCTCTCCAAGGTTATTTTTGAATTTGTTAACTTGATGTACTTTTATTCGTACCAACCCTTGAGAGCGGAAGAATTTACTCTTGCAACATTATTTATGGTCCCTTTTGCAATTTGACGTTTACAAACTTGGTTTCGTTTCTCTGTGTACTGAAATCATCTAACGAACGTCGCTTAAGCAGCGACACAATTCAGACAAATCCGTACAAACATTTGGAAAAAAGTTGTCAATGAGGAAATATTTTTTGCTCTCTTATCTAACAGACATGAAATACAAGATTGGCATTATGAATATTTCAACATCACTCATCTTTTATTGTTATTTTTATTAGGATTTTGTGATGCATTGAAACATGTACCCTTTTTCAACCTAATAATTTTGGTAATTCAATTACAGAACAGATCCTAAATATCTCCCGTTAATGATCAAATCTTCAGCGTCAATACCTTCACTTTGCTCAAACACAAGTTCAACATCTATAGTTTCATTACCCAGGTAAACATGGTTTGTTTTTGCTCTTAATTTTTGGTACTATGTTATTTGAGAAAAACAAATGGGCCATCGCAATCTGGTGCTATTTAAAATATGACATCACATGAGCGGAAAAATATATCATGTTATTAGTAATTTCTTAAAATCTCATTGCCATCAAGATTTTTAGCTGTATGCGGTATGGCGCACCGTGCTGAGCATTAAGAATACGCTCGCCAACGCATCTCTGATTACCCTGCGTGGGTTCACAAGTGGCTTTACAAGTGGCTTTCTCCACCATCAAGTCCATGCTTCCGAAAAAAAACTGGCTAACTAATCCCATACCCGACATAAACTGGTAATCGGACGAGAGGCTTTGGTTCGCCATATGATTATCGTATCGGCTTTCCTCTCCCCGTAATAAATATGTGAATCTTATCCAAAGTATCAAAGCCTTTATATGAAATCCCAGTATGTATCTGTATGTATACCAGCAAATATATGTGTCCATTTTCTAACAATATTGTACTTTTTTGTGATTTAGAAAACTATCATCTGCTAGAAAATGGAACTCTGTGAGTACAGTGACTTCTGTTGAAGCCAAACTAAGTGCCAGGAGTGTGAAATAATTTATTGCTTATTCTAATATTACTTGCTATTATTCACTGAACATAAAAAGAAATCAACATTTCAAGCTTTTGTGAGTATGAAGATATACAGCATAATACCAGCTTTATTTACCTCTCATTTATAGTTGGTATATTTTATATACACATTTTGGGTGGTTCATTTGAATGTGCATACATCAACGCTGTTGTACTATTTTAAATACAGAACAGTTCAGCAATCCTTTTGTGCAGAGGAACTGTAAATGGAGTGAGTAGAGGTTGTGTACTGAAAGATTGAATCTTTATTCTGTATGAATGCATTATGTATTGAAATACCTCCTGATTATTTTGACACATGCTTTACGTTGCTAGAGATGGTTCTTCACTGTTTTCATACTATAAAAAAACTACTTTGTAAGTTTAATTACCTATGGCCTATTTTTAGTAAGAAAACTTGATATCTGGCAGTTTCTGAATCACTGCTTATTTAAATAATCAAAATATTTGAGAAATTTCAGTAAGCAATTGAAAAATCACAACATCCAAAGTTAACAGAAGTATGCTCTTCAAACTATTGTTACGTCAAATAGTTGGTCCGGAAAACCTCATGAAATTTGGCAATGTCTATTAATAAAGTTTTCAAACAGCGTATTTCGTAAATGAGAATGTATATGATGTTTTCATGAATCATCCTGAATTGCCAAGAATCAGTAAAGATTAGATGCATACCAGTAGTAGATCATAGATAGGAAATTATATGCAGGTAATTTTAATATAGCATTACAAATTTTTGAATGTCATATGAATGAATTTCCATAAATGGATAGCAAGTCACTCAGTGCCTGTGATAGATACTTGTTCATGTGGGCATCATGTTGGCGATCATCTGCTGTATATTAAATATAGTAGGACTATATCCTAAACATTTTTATTGCTATGAAGTTTTTTTTAATAAGCTGTTTTTTGTAACACTGTGCCAACATCGTTTTTAAAGCATTACCAATCTTTAAAATTATACATGGTTAACCTTAGATTATATGACAAAGTTTTTTAGTACCTTGACTTGTGCTTCCTTACACTTAAGTGGATCAAAAAGCATTTTGTTGCAATGGATTTGAATGTATTATTGTTACTGTGGGTATTTTTTAAAGATTTATTCGATAAAAATCACCTAAAAATTTCATTCCCAGCAATTTTATTTTGTCTTGCTGTTTTTTCGTTCTTTTATACTTTAGGCAAAACTGTGTATGCACAATGTGTATTTTTTATATGAAAACAGCCTATTTTATACATCTGCCTTTTCTCTTTACTGCCGCACAGTTGACAAGCAATTGTAAAATTTTATAATTACTCATGTGCAGTGTGTACGATTGCCATATATTTTTCTGATAGGACCCTGTATCTAATAAATATTTTCATTTTAGTTGGTTTAGGGATTTATTGGGATAATCGCTTCATGGACTTTTCTCTTATGTCAGAATGATTCATGCAAGGAACAAAATTTTGAGAAAAATTTGCGAGTAACCGATCTTTTCTATTCCACAAAAAGCTGATCAAAACAGCATGCATAAAATACGCTAACAAATAGTTAATAGATTGAAACTATAACATACAATATCCAATTGTATACAACCTTTTTATAATACATTGAAATTGATGACTCTGGTACATACCCAACATTTTTATATATCAGATATGAACTAATAGCTTTGTATTTGGGGTATGCTATTGTGCTATTTTGGGAACTCCAGAAGTATGTGCCCAAGATGGCGCACAACCTGAACATAGTAGTTGTACCAGGTTAGGGTTCAGGTTGTGCGCCATTTTGGTGCACATCCTATTTTGTAATGCTTGTTTTTGTAGTTCATATTTATTGTAGAAAATTTGGACAGTAGAAAAATATGGGACATTGAATGGTAACCGAAAATATTTATATTTCCTATTTATTCTGTGTAGAATTATTTTTTATCTCAAATAGTATTATATTGTATTATTAGACCAATAATTTATTTTCCGGGAAAACTTACAATAAACAAGTTTAGCTTCTTATGAAATTCGTTTAGATGCCTAATGTGGACTCCGGGATGAGCCACACAACATAGGAAACGGCAGTTATTTTAGAAATACTATCTGTCGACAAGTCACAAGGTGAGAATGCTAATGTGGAACTTTTATGCCACCAGTTTAATCTGCATTCTAACATTTTCCTGGGAATCCGCCCCACGCCTTGTTATCTTTATGCACCATGGTTAAAATAGGTTATCTCTTTATTCGATATATATCATTTGCTTTAAATTAAGGGTGTGTAACCCTCAATACAGAAGGGCAGATACAAATATCTGGGTGAAATCGGGAGTCTCGCCTCTATTTCACATACAGGAGGCTTTCTGATAGTTGCAGGCACAAAAATAATTTTGGTTATTGGTCTTATGACATGTGTTGTTCGCTTCGGTATAGACTTTGCAACGCAATGGAGTACTCGCGCGTACTAGATTAAACAAATTAAAAACTCGTTTCGCGGTCCACACACCATTCAGTGGCCCTCCTTCTCGGGCCGCACAATTTTTCCTTGTTAGGCGCAGGTTGCACACCACGGCTTTGAATGATGGTTCAATTATTTATCAATGCAACTATCTGATCGATATTATGGAACGTATCTTTCAGCAAATAGGTAATAGTTATGTAACAGTTGCTTTCAATTCTGCGGCGAAATTTCACCGTTATTTAGTTTAGAAGGATATTCACTACAGAATTGAAAGCAACTGTTACATAACTATTACCTATTTGGAATTAGGAAAATTCTGAAACTAATGTTATAAGCTTCTGTTGGTGTTGGTGTAGTTTTGGGGTTCACTAATGCAGCACTTCTAGCAGGGAATTTTCCTGGCACTCGATTTTATGAAATCAGAGTACGAAAACACTCATATGAATTATCAAAAACGTTTAGGATGATGCAGCAAATTATTTTACGGTTCCAAAGAGTTTGGAGGGAATTCCACTCTGATAGTGTTACTTTTTTCGATCAGCTTTCAACCACATTAAAGCACTTTTACACCTCATTGTTATTTCAGAATTCTTGGTTTTTATTTCGAGTCTGAATAAATTTTTTTTTTGGTATTGTGGGCGAGAAACTAATAAAATGCAACTTAGTAGCATCTAGTTCTCGTATATACCCTAAAACAGTCTGCAGATGCGCTTCTGAATAAGACAAAATGTTGAGATAGATGAAAAGATCAATTGCATTGTTATGTCATAAACGATAGCAGAGCCAATAGCTGAAAGACGGTACACAGCGGTGCAGACATGCGTCCAAGATTAGGGGTTTTGAAAATTACCATACCGACCCAGAAATTAATAATTTGAATATGAGCGATCGCAGCCCTGACTGCCCAACTGACGATACATTATAATAGTTTAGTTATTGTTAACTTTAAGGCCGGTTTTATCAATTTTGAGTACTGATATGTTAGGATTTTTTTTATTTTATTCGTGCGTTGACGTGTTACGAATAAAACTCGGTGGGTCCCTTTGTGACCTGCGGGTCAGTGGTTCGCCATCCCTGCCCTAACTCTATAAACCTAACTGTTTAATCACAATTATATATTTGTTTTCTAGCAAAATGCTCTTGCGATTTTTCCTATTAGGCGAAATTTCCTGCGGCGAGGTTTCTTACGGCGAATTTTCCGGACACGGCTATATATAAATATATCTTGTAGTAATTCATGATATTGTATTCGTGCTTAGTTTGTAAGTAATCGGAGTTCAAGTATCGGTGCGAGTAGCCCACTTCCGAGATCAGACAAGATCGAGTGTTCTCAAACTGGTATGGACGCTATTACTATATCTGTATATATATATATATATACTATACTATATTACTATACTATTTCAATTCACGAGCAATCACTGCATGGTTACAGGTGGACTGATCTGCCCAGCATTATCAGAGAAGACAATTAGACAAAATAAATTACCGGTACTAGTCTTGTTTGTGCTAGAGATATATCGATCAATTTTTCGATACCGGTATCGGTTAAAAATGAACTGATTTCGTCGGCTCCTTGATCTGATCTGGATTGCTTTAAAGTATAAATTATTGTACGTGGATGGACCGCGGACTCAGCATTTACTGCCTCATTACAGTAATCTCATCACAGTAAGTATAGTTGTAGGATATCTTCATTTTATATAAATACCTTGTTTATGACGATTACTTCTTTACTCCACTCTTCACCCCGCACTGCCCACTGTTACAATAGCGTACGACTTATATAGAATTCGATGCTGCCATAAACTGATTCTCAGTGACGTGTTAAATGAGTTATACTTTTGCTAATGGGACAATTTGAGTTTTGGCCTAATTAGTATGAGCGTGTGATTATTTACAGCGATCTCTTAGATAAGTGATTTTTTCGAATTAGAAGAAGTTTTTTGACTAGTTTAGATCTATCTGAATCATCGTTTTGTTCAAATTACTAATATTCCCTGCGTAGTGCCTGATTGCCCCTAAATGAATGAACATTTATATATGTACATCATCATGTATGGTAGCCAGCTACGAGTTTTCTAATTTTGCAGCGCGATTCCTTGTGCCTGTGCATAACGAAACGTCTGCCATCATTAGAGTGCTGAGAATCTTTGCATATGTACCAAGTTAAAATGCATTTCAATTTTTCTTATTTTAGTTCTATTACGAGTTCGGTGACTATCCGTAGACTGACTCCCGTAGTATTTGTACCTAAATTATGGTCTAACCCTAACCTGGTACACATGCGACGTTTCGGTGTCCGCCATCTTGGTGCACATACTTCTGGAGTACTCATTATTGCTCGGAGAATATTATTTGAGGGGTGTATTTACTAATCTTATCCTGCATCTAAACAGTGATACACCCTTCCCCACCCCTCGTAGTATTCATTTTTTGCCTGTTTTGAACTGAACATTGTTTTTAATTAAAAAAGAATTGTTGCACATCTAGTTTTGAAGGTCGCTCACAATTATATCAAATATATATTTGTTTAATTTGTCATAAATATTATTTGAAACGGTTTTTCTCGTTTTTTGTTTCTTTGACGTAGTTCGTATAATACCATGTTGGGGTTAAGCTCGCATTCACATAACCTCACGTCATATATAAAGTAACAAGTATTTCCGTGTCCTAGCACGAGAATGCTTTTATTAAATTGCATCTGCCTGTATAACGTTATATATATATATACAATTTAAGTGACCCGTCTTTTTTAATCGCAACAAATCAAAGAATAGTTCACAATGAATGCATTTATATCTAACTATACTTTCCCATTCAAGCAAATTTTTCTGATGATGTAAAGGTAGAAAATGTTGTTACAATAGTCAGGGTTAATACAGATAGCAATTTCGAAAAGCAATCACGGCGTTAAAAGTTTTGACAGAGTTAAACTCTAAACACATCACAAAAGTAAAAAAAAAAGTGTCAACGTGTAATATTTGTATTTGAAAGATTATAATTTAATATCAAAAACTCTAGACAAATTTAGACATCTGGTGAAATTTTCGAATATTGAGTATTGAATAACAGAGAGAGCCCGCGGGGCATAGCATTTTTAATGCTTCAGCAGTAAGACCGAGTTAATTTCCACGAATATGGCTACTTATTAAAAATAATTATGAATAAATATATAAAATTATTACAGATATGATGAGATTAGTATTCTTATTTTATTTTTAAACGTTAATACGTAGTATTGTATTAAGACAGAAAGCAAATTTATGATATATACATAATAAAATATACATACATAATATATATATATATATATATATACCGGTACATCATTATATGCAATGCCAGTTGAAACATGTATATTTTAGCATAAAGAAAAATAATACTCTATTTAGAGAGAAGTTAATGAGAAATATCGTGTCCGGAAAATTAGCCGTAGGAAATCTCGCCGAAGAAAATTTCACCGCATAGGAAAATTCTCTGCATGAAAAATCGCCGCAAGAGCATTTTGCTGTAAAACAAGTATATATTTGTGATAAAAACAGTCTGGCTTATAAGGTTAGGATTAGGGTATGTTCTTGAATAACGAATCTTTTATAAATAAAAAGGTACTTCAAAAACCTAACTGTTTTTATCACAAATACTTGTGTTTACAGGAAAATGCTCTTGCGGCGAAATTTCCTGCGGCGAATTTTTCTAGAACCAGAAAATATATTGATTCAGCAAAAAAATTCAGTTCCCAGTATTTTAAACTACATCTTATTGCAGATTTTGCCTCTTTAACATTCGAGCCCCTGGAACTACAAATCTTTTGCTTTGACTTTTTCTTTCGATTCCAATACTATCAACATGAGGAGTGAATACATTCGCATGCAGTTGATTTTGGAAGTTTGAAAGTTCTCTACGTAGCATGTCATATGTCTGTAAAAAACAAAAGTTCCAATATTGTAAAAATTTTATACATCATGAGTCATTTCAATCATGAACATAATTTCAAGGGAGGGGAAAATTATCCAATAAACTTTTTCATTCATGGGTACTGCGGGAGTTCAAAATGGGTTGGAACGTGCAGGCACATAGTGTCACAGTTTGTTTATTGTACTGCGGTTTATAAGATTAGAAGACCCAAGAACATATGACATTAAGAACATTAAACACGGCTCTTTTGGCTAACGCGCCTTGGAAATTGCACATGGTCGGACTGATATTGAAAATTCTATTTCATATTCGCCGGTATCTGAACCACAATATGCGTCAGAATGCGCGGCGACAACAACAGAAACAAGAAATTTAATGGTTTTTATAAATACCTAAAATGTAGCCAAGATCGAGCCTGAGTATGTAACCGACCATGGAACGGAGTGGAGTGCATTCTTTCCCACGATATTTATGCTCGCCATTTTACATTAATGTGATTTCATGCAAGTAAGTGTGCGCAGCTTTTATTTAAATATACTTGTCCCACACTGCGTCGCACGTGTCCCGCTTGTTCCATTCGTTTTACGTGTCACACTTGCCTCGTGAGTCCTACATGTCCCACCTGGCCCGTTGGATCAAGAGTGGGACAAGTAGGGGAGGTTATACACAAATAGGACTTGTTTGGAACAGACAAGTGTGGGAAAACTGGGATACGTAGGACAAATTGGACAAGTGATACAAGTGTTGGGTAACTAGCACAAGTGTAGGACACAGTGGGATATGCAGGGTAAGTGGGACATGTGCGGGATAAGCAGCACACGACATTTTCGAGACACCAGACGCACCATGCTAACGAACTGCAGGAGGTACTGCAGACTGCAGCTCTATCAGCTAAATAACATCTAGGCCAGGATGGTGGAGATGTATTATTAAGAAAATGCGACATCGGCAAAGCAGTTTTTTAGTAATGATGATCATATCAATAGGACTTCAAATAGGTTCAAACCAAACTTGCTATGGCATATAATTGACCTGAGAATATGAGCCACCAATTTTTTGTATTATCAAATGCCACAAAACCAACAAATTCGACAAATTCTCCGAGTATGACGAAACAGGGTATGCATATATTTGTATATATATCAATGTAGAAGAAAATGGGCAGCAACGTTCGGGCTAAATCTTCAAAAATCGATTTATTCAATTTATCTTACTTACACTACACATCCTTGAATAATATTCGGAAACGAGACTTTCGGTGGAGAAAATCAGCATTTTATTATTTACCGCACCATACATAGGATGATATGGTTCGAATACTTCTATCGAAATTCTATACATACTTAATACTAATTTCTATATGATTAATGCAAAACTTTATTATTTGTTTATTAACTTACTGATTGTTCTTTTTTAAGTGTCTTCATTAAATTAGTTGCTCCAAGTCGATAGTCATTAAATTCAAACACACTAAACCTGTAATAAATAAAACAATGTGATGAAGTAAAAGAGAAAACGTCGATTTTTTGAATAAGACGGAAAATAGACAAATTTGGTATGGAATTATGAGTAAATGAGTTCGTTTTTATTATACGTTTCTGGACATAAAAATTTAAAATATTCTTCATCATTGTTCACATGAAAGATTCTTAGAATAACAAATTCAAAAACGTCACGTACCACGCCCAAATTCTCTTTTTAACGCGCATCTTTGTTAGACCAGCACTGCAGCATGAAGTGATTTTATTCGGCTGATACTTTAAGCACCCACAAGCTGCGCTTTTTCTAATTCTCCCGGGTAGTAGTGAAAAGTAATACTCTCCAGAAATGACGTTACCTGCCTGTAAAAACGTTAGTTTTACAATGCGTCAAATATATATTGTCACGCTCATAACAAAAGTGCGTAAGACATTCTTATCGGTTTGGAGTAAAGTAAAACATAAAAAAGTTTATTTGAGATATTTTTTTGTCATCAAGAGTAAATAATTTCCCATGGTTAAATTTGTTAATCGTAGCCCGATTTAAATGTGTTAGTATAACGCAGTCGTCATAATGGCGTGTTACGTCATAATGGCGTGACGTCACTGTGACTTACGCAGAAATATGTCTACAAATTGAGGACATACACAATTTTGCATTGATTATATCCATCAATCCTGAAAAACTAAAGTTCAGAAAACGTTTGTAAGCTACGGTATATACATACGATGTCTAATCCCAAAATGAATTATCAGTTTTCATAACATCATTTTTCATGTTTGAAATATATTTTTATCAATGTGACACCCTGTTCGCACCTACCAATGATTGGATTTTCCACAACTATTGCATATAAAGCCGTTGCATCCATCTAGTCATCTACCGTGTTTCCCCAAAAATAAGGCCTACCCTGAAAATAAGACCTAGTCAATTACCCCGTTTTTTTGACCTAGTGTCCTAGTCAATAACCAGAAATCTCTGATCGTTTTAAATGATTGATAATCTATGTTTTGCAGTTATTTTGAATAAAAACGTATTATTTATGTTTATGTTTTGCAGTTATTTTGAATAAAAACGTATTATTTATGAGTAAAAGGACATGGGTTTTTATATTTGTACTTTGTAAATGTGTTTCTGATAATGAAAATATAACCATTCTTTAAAAATAAGCTCTAGTGTCATTTTTCAGGAAAATATTGAAATAAGACCCAGTCCTATTTTAGGGGAAATACGGTGATATGAATTGGATTCAAATAATTTTGTGACATTACAGTAGTCTCGTGTTAAACAATTTATTATTACGGAACAATTGCAAAAATCTGCATGTCTATATGTCACCTTATATATCCCTTATATGCGTTGCGGCATATATCTGATTAAATCTGAGTTATTCGACTGGCAGCATTACGTAAATAAATAACTATTTTATGAAAAAGCCAAAATAGCCATAGAGAGACTTACACAATTTAGTTATTGTCATGACGATATATAAATATACAGTATTATAACAAATAAACAAAATTGTAAATAGAAGTAAATATAAATACATAAATAATCAGAGGTTTATACTACCAGAGTCGAGTAGTTTGTAAATATTACACCATCAGTACGATGCTTACATCCCGCAACTAAGGTAATTACGGACAACACGTCTATAACTCTTCCGTGGTTTGGCATCAGAAATTGTATGGGAAATGCATAAGGCAGAGTGAGAAATGACGGACAAAGAGGCTCGTCATATTTGAACTTGGTACATTTTTGTCAAAAATGTGTGCATTGCCGTCTTATTGTATTCTGTTTAAAAGGTAGCAGCCTACGTCTGATTGATTATTTAATTTAAGCAATAAAATGGACAATGAAATTTATAAATAACAAGGAAACTACGCAAGAAACCATATGTTGAATGGAATTGAATATTGAAAGATTGCAAAATGAGTTCATTAAAATGGGCGGCATTTGTCAATCAACATTGCTCGCATTGGTATCCGAGATTACAAATATTATGTAATTATAATTATAAGCCAAATATACACTATATATGAGAATTTATCATTGATTCGTTTGAGTGCAATAAAACATGTCACATTTATTGTTCCCAGTATGCCCTGTACTAATATAATGGGTTGTTACGCGTGTCGATTTTGATACCGGCATTATCATAATATCATTATTACAATATCACTCATACGTCTTTTACATTTTAAGTACATTATGAAAGTCCGTGACACTATATTTCCGATTTAACATTTGCCTTAAGTGTTATTGGAGTATGCGACTGGATAGATATTTTTGAATTTAAATAATAGTAATGCTGGTATCGTATGTAATCTGGATAAGCTCGTAGCAGAGCGGGCCAATCGTACACTTGTAATTTGCAAGCATTTGTAGATTGATTCTGTTATTTATACCTGTAGGACGGTGAAATATTTGATTATTGGTGCATTCAACAGCCAAAGGCTGAAAAGATTGTCAAATCAGTTTAAGGCAAATTTGAAACAATATTCCTGATTTAACCAAGGGATAACGATAATGTAATTGAATTTGTGGGGTTTAGAAACAATTATTTGCGTCAATTTACCAAAACAACGTTTTTTATATTCGAGTATTATTTTCAGTATTACGTTTTAAAACACTTGCAATGGGTTAATTGTTGAAAACTGAGTATGTTGTTTGCCATATACAAATGTTTTATAACGATTGTTACATTTGTATGTATTTTGTTTATTCATTTTCTGAAATTTTTCTTAATCATTTAGAGAAAATTAGTGTTTAAATTATGAAAATTGATTTTAAATATACTTTAGAATTTATTTTTCATTCTTAGCTTGTACCAATAAGTGTTCTGAACTAGTTCTAAAATATATGGACAAATTCGCCGGAGCTTGCCATCATAATTCGAAATCGCGAAAACAATACACTACAGCATAAAAAAAACTACTGTATAATGTGCGATGACTTATATCTGTATCAAATTACTGTTCAATAATAACAATACCTTTAAGGACATCATCTCTGCTTCTGATTCTTTGTGTAACGTATCAACGTCTGATACAGCCAGACCCACCAGAAGATTTAGAAGGCAGATCACAACAATCACAATGAAAAAAACATACGTTGTCAGAGTAATTCCTGCGTGTCGGATATTAGGATTCTACAAGCAGAAATTTAAAATGGATATATTAAAATATATATGTTATAGTATTTTTTTATAATATTTCCTGATCCAATATCTAAACCACTGTAACATCCTGAAATGCACACTTGTAAACTAGTGAAGTAGTTTAATTTCGCAGCAAATATTTCGTTCAGATCACATGATTGCACGCCCTCTAACAGTTAGCCTACTCACAAAATTAATCATAAACAATTCTTACTAGAGCATTGTTTGATGTCAGTGTATCCACATATTCAACCTCTCCAGACATCATTACCAAAACAGTTGCAATGGACATTTCTCCTTTGAACAGTGGCTAAAATTATTTTATTTACCATCATTATAACATTTTACAACAAATTATGTTAAACATAAAGGCAATTTACATAAACTGAAACTAAATATGTGTCTTTGTGCATGTTTTAAAAGATTATGCGATTTGTAAACAAATAACTATATGGTTATTCATACCAGCGAGACTTTCTTTCTAAACGGCTTTATGCGGAATAAAAATTAGTTGGAATGCGCTGTTATGAGAATGTAGTGTTACGAAAACGGAATTTGGTGCTGAACAGTTTTGCAGGAACAGAGTTGTGTGGGTTGTATTTGTGGTAATGTTATTTACATTTACAAACTGTTGTGGGACATGAAGTAGTTTTTTTTATTGAAAGCTGAATTCACAAGAAACAAAAAACATTGACTGCAATTTTCATTAGACAAACTGCACTAACTATTTTCTATGATATTTTTATTGGTTAAGCTTTACAGAACTGAGAGAGTATGATTATTCAATTTATCTTAATTAAAAGTTATTTGGAATAAACAACATATATTTATATATATATATTTATTTCTAGGTAATACATTTGAAATTGCTAGCTGTTAAACCCATTTATTCTTACTAATAAGTACTAGTATTTTTAAACTATAATTAAAAAAAATAAGTATATTCACCATGAAATCCAGTAGAATACTAAATGTCACTGCGAATCCTATAATAATTGGGAAGAAAATAAATATGACAATAAAAGAATTTTTCAGGATTCTTGTAAACATGATGAAAAATATTCCAATAACTGGTAGCTGTCTCATCGTCAGAAGAATGTTAAACCACGCTGTAAAGACGCAGATCGCTGCCAGTGGGTAATCCTTCTGTTAAAACAAACAATACGTTTTTAAATATCTTTGATTAATATTTGGCTAAAATATTCGATTTTTTGAAGTGCCAATTTAGTGCCTAATTAACTAAACGAAAAAATTGATTTACTGCTATTTTATCTACATCCTTGTTCAAGTGTATAGTTACTACTAACTATTTATATGGTTTTTCCTATTTATAATAATAACGAGCATAAACGCTCTGGACTATAAAGATTCATCGCATGCTGACATTCGACTTACCAACTCATGCGATAAGAAGCCATCATCCAATACAAGTATACAGGTGCAGATATAAACTAACATTTTCAACCAGTGTCCAAATGTAAATAAATAGGAAGGAAATTCAACAACTATTGAAACCAGCTGATAAAAGAAAAATAAACAAATCTACTCAAAACGTATGTAAACCTTATATAAGGCTTCAGACAGAGCGGGCTTTTTATAAAGCGTGAAAAATTACAATCAATGACTTTGCGAGCTCTTGGCAGACAAATGTCATCAGGTTGATAAAAATACTGGAACGTGCATCATTGTATAATTCTTTCACACAAAATATATGCCATTTTGATTTTTTTAAACCATATCCAGCACCTAAAACCTAAAAACTTTCGAATACTGAACCAATTTGAAAAAGATTTATATTTTTCGTTAGAAAAGAACGCATCAAAGATAAAAAAAAATAATTATCCTAGTCGACATAGAGTTTGAAATGTGGACGAATTTCACTTCACATTGTATCAGAAACCTTCTGGATGCTTTTGGACATAAGCAAAAATATGACAGCAAAAATATTATGCCGGTTTGTTGGTTTTCGCATTTTTTTCAAATGTAGTTCCCACAATATCTATCAATGGCATATCCTATGTACTTACATCTTTTACAATGCTAATAAAAGAGATTACAAGAAGAATTATAGATACAACTCCAACAGAAACATCGCTAGTACCATTTCTAACTTCGGCATCAGTAGTATTAATGGTTTCGTTCGTGAAATGATGAGTCTGAAAAAAGAGCAATGGACTGACAAAAAATGTGAAATCTAATCTTTTTTAGAATGAATAAACAGACGGTTATGTATAGCTAACAACGGCTATTACATAAAACATTTTTTGCCTTGAACTTGTGAATTTAGTTGCTAAAATGTAAACCTTGAGCGGTAAAAACCTTATTCTGTCTATGCCATAAAAATAGTGTGAAAGTTTCCGATTCGCAAAAACGTTGAACTTATAATATCGCAAGCAATACAAAGATTGATAAATGATTTTCAGTATAATTACATAACAAAAAGGGTAATATAAATACTTTGTGATGGCTACAAGGATTTCAATACAGTTGAAGTTTCATTAAGCTTCCAGCATGACTTTTATGTAGGGCTGAATACACTTAATCTGTAAGCGCTTGTTACTTAGTTTGGGCTATTTTATAAAAATGGTATGAATCATATCAATAATACCTTCCTTGTATTTCAATTTTCAAATAAATGTCGCAAATAATTCTTGTTAAAATAATATGATAAAATGTAGTATAATAAAATTATTAGAATTTCAAACATAAAGAAAATGAAAAGAAGCGAACACAAGTAAACATGCAATCTCACATTCGTCATTTTCACATAGAATGTGAGCATTGCGACATACGCCACATAAATAAACAGCCCTCCATAGAAGTAGTAACTTCCTATACTCTGCCATTTGTGATTTATGAGAGCAATTGCTAGAGGGTGACCAAGAACCAGGTTGCATTTTTCATGACACTAAAAAGTAAAAGTAATAAACATGAATTTTATTCACTTGTGTTCCAAATGTTTTCCAGAAAAATAATTCTAATTAGTGAAAAGATTTTTATTTTTCTAACTATTTGTTTGTCACACTAATGAACTTGTTGAAAGTAACGAAGCCATGTTTGGTCATCTTCTCACCTTTGGTCAGCTATTCACAAGTTGTAAAATATATTTTAAACACAGTTAACGTCGATGGGATTTTTGCTAGAACGAAGATTTTTCAGTAATTGGTGGAGTACAATATATATTTGATATTAGCCCTTGAACTCACCGCAATAGTTAAGGGATGATTGTCTCTCACTACTTGTCTCTTCTCAGTGTAAGGCTTTGCATGACTTGTCAACTTACACTTCATTACAGTATTATTACAAATAAAACTTCTTTCATCACAGTCCGGAGTGACTTTATTAGTGTGCTCTTTATCACTGAGATTCCAGGCTTCGGCTGTGGAATGGAACAATATTTCTTGCAAAACCAAATACAATGATAAAATTCTACAACACTTGTGGAGCAACTTCATAATGGCATATTTTCGTTCGTTCGTTTCGTTCCTTACGGATAGAATGAATGCTACGATCGAAACTGGTAAATTTTTCGCTAACCGTGGACATTTTATGCTAAAATCAGAGGTCAGTTTTATGAAGCGAGGTGCTACCTACAAAATTCCAAACACAAGATCAGTTCATAACACACACACATGTTGCGTTTTTTTTTTAAATATTAACATTAAAGATATTGAAATTTTCTACATACCATCTGAAAAGTGCGTTGTTGGTCCATCTGTAATAAGATTTAAATCATGTCCTAATGAGCAAACAAAATGTTACATACATAATATGCTTTTAATTTAATGCAAATGTTATTCACCTTATGAGAAAGTCTGATAATAGACCAATAAAAAATAATCTTACCTGTTTCTGTTATCCTCTTTCCAATATTAAACAAACCATCGGTGCGATCATTCTTTTTGTTATTAAGCGTGGATACTGGTGTTGTCTCAGAACAATTTTCATATCTGCAAATAACACAAATATATTAAATACGGTTCACATTATCCTTTTTGTTCATCACAATACATAAATCTAATATGTTGACAAGTATGGTATATTCAAGTCCAAATGAATATTTCTAAAAATATTGTTTGGATTGCTTTAACAACGCAATATGAATATCAAAAAACTTTATTTCATACCCTTCTATACAGTTATTAATATCATTCCAGCCTCTATGTACCATCCAGTATTTACTTGTATATGTGTCATCAAGGAAAGCGAAGTTAAATCGCGCCTGAATAACAAGAAACTAGTTTAAATTTCAATATTTACTAAATATTGAATGCCATAAAAGCATATTCCATTCGAACAAGAATTTTATCTTGCTTAGCATTGTCAGCTTGCGCTAATAGTAATGAAAGTTTTCACCATAAATTCTGGGTGTTTTGGATCTTTATAGCAGCTAAGTTCGATACATTTGTCCATCACAAGAGCGGCAATATCTGGCATCAAACGTATTAATTGTCTCATTGGTGTTTCTATTTCTTTGCTACCATCCACATCCTTTGCAACTGACATATATTCTGCCCATTTTTCATGTGCAAGAAATAACCGCACACATTCCTGTAACAATAAATACTCTGAGAAGGTACATTTAAGTCCAAAAACATCACAGATGTTTCTTACCTTATTGTGCAATTGAATCGCAGTCAATAGCGCGGTGTCTTTTTCGGCATCAACTATATTTGCTTTGATCTCTGGGTGTTTAAGCAATATTTCTACTAAATAAGCAGAATTATTGTTCACAGCAATATGAAGCGGAGTTTTCTGGAATGAAAATAATATTTATTTTATGTACCAAGAAGCAGTTAAATATGTATAACAGACTATATGAGTAATTAATACAAAATGATCGGAAATAGAATACGTGTATCATGTACACTCATTTTCGTCATACATGGAGGTTTAGCGAAGGCGATAGATTGTCTTAGTAAAGTCACCTATGCAAGCGATATTTATTAATGCATATTACATGGAACAAAAGTTTAATATAACACTACTTTTGTCGTGACAAACCCGTGACTGAAGACAGTATGTGCGATTGAGTCATACCATATTATTTTGATGAATTAACCGATCGAATGGATCATGGAATTAGTAAGACAAGTCTAAGCTGAGTACATCAAACAAACAAAATTCGTGTTGTTGGCCCTCTCGTTAAGCAATGGGTATATAGTAAGACACGAAATTTGTTTTCAGGATCCCTAACTTGAACTCACAGACGCCAATGATAGCATATTCTTGTACTTCAAAGTTTCTGGCATCCTCCTGCAACATGTGCGTTACAAGCTTTTATGGGTATTTAATGTGCATAAAATCATGAAGGAAATATTTGCCTTGAATCGATAAAATCAAGTTATATCCGGTGGTGGAATTCAAATTTCAATATCGAATTTTCTTTTGTATCAAACTCAATAACAATGGGTTCTGTCATATTTCATAAAATGTATATCTCCTTTCGTAAGCATGAGGCGCTTTACATTATAACACATGACATTCAAAACGATAAATATAGCGCTAGTCGTGAGCTGCAGTCCAGGTGATATACAGTGGTTGTTACAAAATGGTTACTGTCAACACGGTGAGAAAGGCATACTTGCTCATTCCCACTGATAGCATTTACGTCAGCTTCGTTTTCTATGAGAAGTTTAACGATGTCTTGATTTCCTGTTTTGCATGCATAATGCAGAGGTGTAGACTAAAAAAACGATGGGAAAATTTTACAATTTTTTTTTTTGATATGATGTTATGGATTTATTTTGGACTAGATCAAACAATAAAAATACTTTGTACCATATAACACACTTATCGCTACTAATAATATTAGCTAACTCCTCGTTGTCTGAATTTTAAGTATAATAGTTAGTTACATGTTTGCAATATCAGAATTATATTTAGTTGTAAATTGGAATACGTCACATATTTTTAACGCTAATTCAATTATAAATGCCGTTCATAGTATTAAAAATTTTACATAATGAAAATATTTTCAACCACCGTAACTGACCTGTGTCGAATCTAGAGTATGTACATTGGCATTCCACATGGCTAATAATTCAGCCGTTTCAAATGGAGTACCATGATAATGCATCCAACTATCCTGTAATAAAACATAAACTTATTTCAATGTAACTGGCGCGTAAATATAGCATTCGTATGGGAGAATAATTAGGGACCAAATACCATTGATAATAGACGCAAGATAGAGCAAAAAAAAGGAGCTGTCGGTGTGAATACCTTCAACTTGGCATCCCAAACAAGAGTCATTTACTGTGGCTTTTGCAAAAAAACGCGACTTTGTTTTGAGTGGAAAACGCCGGTCAAATCGAATTGGTGGGTAGAAATCTCTAAGTTGTAAGATTTCCTAAATGAGAGTTGAGATAGGATTCGGTATATTCGAATGTTATGCGCCCTGACAGTTCTAGAATAGTGACAATAAATCTCGTAACTTGCAAATGCTATGTCATCTTATTTATGAATATGAGTGGGTTTCTTTTACGTGTAAATCATTCAAAAACCTTTTTATAAAAAAGATTGGCCATGTCGAAATATCCTAAATTAGTAAGCTAATGATTACAAAAAATATTCAGGCTATTTTGGAATATTTGTAATTATTATCCGATCGGATTTAAAAAATGTTTTGCTAACCGGATTACATATTTTCCAATATTTGGACTCGTGGCATTCTTCTTTATGAGATCCAGCAGCATAGTGTAGTGGAGTGCACTGAAATTCATTGAAGGACAATATAAATATATGATAAGGTTCTGTGCATAATGTACCATTGTAAAACAAGATTAGGAAATAAGTTTTAATATTGTTTGTAATTTAAACAGGCAAACCCTTAAGTTACCTAAATTCATAACATAATGACGTACCAAAGATGGTAATGTGTAGTTATGAAATTACAGAATCAGACTGCTTGATCAAGCGAAACATACCGAGTTCGTGCTATCAAATCAGATGTGTTATTGACTCAAACTCAGAGTAATAAAAAAAATGAAAAATATCCATTAACCATATAAATCAATAATAAACATAAGACTAGTATATCATACCCCTGTAGAATCTGGAGCATTAATGTCAGCACCGGATATAAGCATTGCTTCACATCCATGCAGGAAATTCATGATGGCACAAAGTCGCAGTGAATTATTCTGTAAAGATTTTGAAACATTGAATAAAGTCATGCAACATGCGCGTGTACTTGAAATCAATGCATCATGAATCAAATCATGTCTGGATAATTCATAATTCCTAGCAACATCCGGCCCGCGACGCTTCACTGAATTATAGTAGCAAAGCAGCTGTTTTGACGATTATATTCTTTACGTATTAGAATTTATAGTGAGACACCTGTAGACTAAATTATATTATAATCTAACAAGTACAAAATTCACAATTACTCGTTTAATGAGCTTAATAATAATTTAATTAGAATTAGACAAATGACAACAAAACGCAGAAAAGTTGATGCTAAGTGCAAAGGGTTCAATGGCGCCGAAAATACTCATATGGAATTTTTTGAGATGCAATGCAACGGGAAAATAAATCGATATTCTTTTCGAGAGATGTATCACTGCTTGATTTTTATTATAAAAAGTATCATCCGTTCGGTTTTCAACTTACTAAAAACATATGCGGCCCGCCAATGACTTGCAACCCTTAATTTTGGCCCGCAAGCGACCAAAGTTTCCCACATAAACAACCGAATACCAATGATTATTTTCAAAGGTACACATTATATTTACCATATTAGCTTGTGAACAGCCTTTTGTATCTAACATAAGCTTCATAACTTCCAGATTTCCATATGATGCAGCTATCCAAAGTGGTGTTTGCTAAAACAAAAATATCACCAAACCATCAGTTCGAATGGATTTTTTTTGAAAACAATCATCGCAAGCAACTATATTACTCTCATATTTGTATTTCCAATTCAAAAGCATCCGAGAGTTTTGTGCAATATGACTGATACGAATTTTATTGGTTTTGCTTGGTTCAAACTCACATGTTCTGTATTGCTAAAATTACTGTAATAAAAGTATATGTACAGTGAGTTATGTATGCTATGTATGTACATTAATTCAAAGAATACATACTTTATAGAATTGGCTGTATATGACATTGGCTGCATACGTGATTATGTATATCATCCGAATGGCTATATATGTATTTTGAGTTGGCTGTATATGCATATGGCAATTCCTGTGAATACAAATGACATCGACTGTATTTGCATATGACATTTGCAAACTCACATATTCTGTGTTGAGCTAAAAATAGTAACTGTAATATATGTATATGTAAATTGAGTTGAATATATATATGCTGTGTATGCACATTATTTGAATGAATCCATATTATACAAAATTGGTTGGATATGCATATGACATTTCCGACATATGTAATTATGTATATCATCCGAATAGCTATATATAAATATTAAGTTGGCTGTATTTGAATATAGGTTGGCTGTATATGACATTGGCTGCATGTGCATATGAATATAAGTTGGCTGTATATGCATCTTTTGTTGGCTGTATATGTGTATGATTTGGCTGTATATGTATATATGCCATTGGATGTAGGTGAATATGATCACTTGAATGACTGTATATGTATATTGAGTTGAGTATATATGATGTATGTGTACATTATTTAAATAAATGCATAACATATAGAATTGGCTGTATACGCATATGACATTGGCTGCATATGTAGTTATGTATATCATTCGAATGGCTATATTTGTATATTGAGTTAATTATATGTGCATATGACAATGCCTGTATATACATATGGCATTGACTGTATATGCATATGACCTTTGCAAACTCACATGGTCTGTATTGCTAAAATTAGTAATTGCAATAACTATATATGTACATTACATTATGTACATTGTTTGAATGAACGCATCTTATATAAAACTGGCTGTATATGCATATGACATTGGCTACATATGTAATTGTGTATATTATCCGAATGACTGTATATTTTATATTGGCATTGGAGCTATATGTATATGAGTTTCCTGTATACACATATGAGTTTGCTGTATATGTACATTGGCTGTACATATATGGCTGCATGTGCACATGACATGTGGATATATATGTGTATGATTTGACTGTATATGCATATGACATTGGATGTATGTGAGTATGACATTGGCTCTTGTATGTAAATCACTTGAACGACTGTATATGTATATTGAGTTAAGTATACATGCTGTCGATGTAGACTACATTACTTGAATGAATGTATATTTAAAAAAAATCGGCTGTATGTCGATATAACATTGGCTGCATATGTATATGAGTTGGCTGTATATGCATAAGCCAATGTTATATGCATTTACACTAACTAATATACATATACAGCCAATTCATATGCATATACAGCACACTCATATGCAAAAAAAACAAACTCATAGGTACATACAGACAACTCATGTGCATATAATACAACCAATGTCGTATGCATATACATTCCATGCCATATGTACATATCGCCCACCCATATGCAGATACACCCAATTCATATACAGTCATTGCCATATGTATATACAGCTAATATATTCTTTGAAACTCGGGAGAATACGCTGAAACCATTTCTTGGTATGCAAAAATAGTTTTGGCGATTAATGCCAAGACCAATGAGTGCAATCTCTACAAATTATGGATTATTAAAATAACTATATTATTTCTATAAAAAAGTTCATCTGGTAAACTAGAAAAAAGTGTCAAAGGACAGGGGTGTAAACTTTTTAGACTTCAATGATCGGAGCAGCATGGTTCATAGTTTTAGCTCTGCGAGGCAGCCCACTTATGACTCCCGATAATAATAATATATCTTTGTTATTATTTAAACCCATCCCACATGTATGTATGGAAAAACATTGAGTGAAATATGACTTTATAGTACAAGTTAGACTGAATTTTTCGTAAAACATTTTTGAAAAGCCTTGAGTTCATGGTATTTACTCGTCTAGATTCTTGATTTCGAATCAAGCTGTTTTCCTATGTTGAATTGCTTTCTTATTTAAAGTCATTTTGTTTATCAATAATTCTTACCTGCATAACTCTGCTGACATTACAGTCAGCGCCATGATTAAGTAATAGCTGACAAAGATTCATGTTATTTGATCTTGCCGCGACCATTAACGGAGTTTCCTGAAAGCACACAGAAAAATATGAATAATAGCATCATATGAAATTCACTTAATGACAGCGATAAGCACTGTTCAAGGGAAAAAGTACAAACATTTTAGACTTGATATTATTATTGCCCTGCATCCTTCGACAACTGTACTTTGAAATGTTTGTTAAAAACGTATGTTATCAGTGATGGACACTACCTACCTATATAAGTAGTTGTAAACAATGCACCTATGTACTCACCCATTTATATTTACTATTGATCTGAACTTCTCCGGTTTTTAAAATCTCTTTGACTTGTTCCGTGTCGCCATTTTTTGCTGCAAGCACTAGATTGCGAACCTAGAAACAGTCATCGAAACGGTTAATTTCTAATTGTTTTTACGGCTTATTACATTATTTTATTATTTTCCGAATATTTCAGTATAAAAAGTTAGGAACAATATTCACATTAACAATTACTTCAAAGATTAAATGCTGTATGCTCAAGGGCTTTGACTAACGGCGTCGTAATATGGTAAAACTATTTGTGTTTTATTTTCGAGAGAAAAATCTTTCTAACCTCAGATAACGACAAAAACAACAAAAAGTTTGTTGAACATTCTACTTAGAATGTCAATCATCAGTTAAAGTCACATCAGTTAAAGTTATACCTTTCTTTGTTGAGCCGGTTCCATATTCATTGGAAACCAAGGTCCCTTTCCTGTGTCAACCATTTCTATCTCATTGTTGGGGACAGGAGGTGGTATATCCATTTTTGTTGTCACTTAACAATTAATTAAACTTAACGAAATTTAATAGTAAAATACTATTGCGAAAATACTTTTGAGAAAACTTCATTTAGTGAACCAGCGCATTTCCAATGTCGTTATGACGACGATGCATTACTTTGCAAAACGTTTTGGAGTGAATTCGTCGTTCAATTATTACGTACAGTAAGTAGTTACATAGTTTGCTTAAACCCATACATATGCTACTGGAGTACAATTTAGAGATACCCGACGTTTCCTGCTAGGTAGTGGGCATCCCGAAAGGCAATAAAAAGACTGGTATCTACCGTAGACTAAATAAGTTGCAATCATTTATAATTTTCTCCCAGGCAGACAAACGAAAACCTCCCAGTATAACCTGTAATGTTACGCGTACACAGCAAAGCTATTTCCCAAATTATTTTGCTAAAATCGCTCTATGGACTCAAATTGTTATTAACTTCCAAATATTCATTGACAATGAAATGAGCAGAAGGGTGATCACTTCCATTCATGTTTCAATGAACGTCCTGAACGGACATAGTGAAATACATTGCCAGATTATTTTCCAATAACCGCTCTATGACTCGCAGATTATTGACTTCCCAAATTTCTCATGTTTAAATAGAAGCCGTAATTTAACTGAATATGACTCAAACATCTTTAGCGTGGATATATCAAAATTGTACACGACAGCCAACGCTATCCACCTCGCCATATATTCATTTCTCAGGGGGTAATTGCTTCAAAGTATTTTGCTGTCCTTTAGTATCTTTATTATGTAGCCTACGTTTTATTATTATCAACAATGGCTTGGAAAATCAACCTCTGCGTAATTGTGACTACATTCAACGTCATAAGAATTAGGTCAATATCTCCAAAAGATATTGTCTCGTAACAACAAAACTACTCTACTTTCTAAAATACTCTGACCTATTGCATTTAAACGACAAGCATACATCGGTAGAGCGACCGTTACTGTTTCAGGCAGATAATGTACTAAGTTATTCAAGGAAGAAGGATACGTTACGCGAAGATCCACCTGTTTATTGTTCTTACATAAAGCGTCACTTCCTACTACAAACACTGAGCAATAATATTACACATACACATTTTCCTACGTCCGTTAATTTACAACAATAATTACATATATTAAAATAGCCGGGTACAGTTTAAAGTATTATACATATAGTCATATACTGTATATACATATATATATCTATATTGACTTGTTATATCGAAAGTGGCAATAATTTCGCTTGCGAAATCAACGATATTCTATAATATATAATATATTTATATATTCGAATCAGTCATTCAGCCAAACGTTTACTCGTTATTCCTAAAAAAAAAACAAAGAAAACTGATACAGCAAATGAATTAACGTTATTGAAAACATTGTTGTAGAAAGATATAAGATTGTCGCAAGCTCTGAGTCACCTCCACACATCCCGAGAGTTAACTAATAAACGGAAAAAATTATAATAAGGATGTGTGCGTTCGGTATGTCAACGTTGTTGTGTGCCAATCGCCATTAGTGACTAACATGTCGATCACCAAGTCTCGAATGGTCTTTCGCTTCTGATTTAGAGATTTTTGAACATATACATTAGCAGCGGGTTCGTGTGTCGTATCTGTCAAAACTACACCCCCGAAACTCATTTTATAAAACGAGAAGGATTTTTATTTTGTATGCTCAATTGCGCTAAGGATAGGGATTAAGTTCATAACCACGAGAAAATTGATTGCATAGCTCTGTCATACCATACATATAACGAAAAGTTCGAGCCGTAACTCCTACTAAAACCTTTTTTGGATCGGCACTGTCAAAAATTTCGGCACAATCCTGCAACAAATTTTATTAGGAAGTGGTTACCCACATTTATCGGCTAGTCATTTTTGAGTATTTAGTTTCACAGCCTAGAATCTTGGATAAACTAGGTTCTGTTCTAAGCGGGGGGTTAGTATGACGTACAACCATCTATCATTCATTTATTTATGGGTGTGACTTAATTATCTATCAGTCGTTAACGAGATTCTGCGTTCAGGAGGTCATAAAGGCTGATAAAGATTTGCATCAATGATATGCATAGATAGTAAATACATTACATTCAAATGATGAATCGAATATTATTAAAAATAAAATGCAAATTCGTGAAATAGTTCGTTCTTGATTTCCTAAAAGTTGATTGAAAAATTTGTTAATCAATGCAATTTACGATTTTGTGGAAGATATGGAAAGACTGATTGTGATTGTGTGATATAGCGCATCCTCATTCACTATCGCAGTGTTCAACCGTAAATATATACGGTTCAACAGCGTCATATTTGGATAGACATTACATGAGACAGCATTACTGTTAGTACGGAAAACCATTTGCACAAAGGAGCATGTACCTTGCAATGTGCTGTTTTTATACAACACCTCACATCTTACCAAAACTGATCAATGTAACTACAACTTAATTAAATAGTTTTCCTGAAAACTCTGAAATCTTGATTTGGTGTTTCGCAAACAAATTATGATATGAAAAGTCTTCCGTGGATAAAACAAATGTTATTGAACGATCGATTAATCTCTAGGTGTCGCTACACTGTTTGTGGACGGTTGCTACAACGTCGCTACGGCCTTTTCTAGAGTTTTTGTCGCGATATCTCATGTCTGTCTGTTGAGAATTTTGATGCATATGTGGGATTGTATGATATTTAGAGTATTCAATGTGCAAACTAGGTTTGCGAATTCAAAGTAAATAGTTGGTAAATTTATTAATAGCTTTCTTTGTCCAATTAGTAGAATATTTACAAGCCGCTTATCAGCTCATAACAGAATGAATTATCCCAGTATGCCAGTTATCTTTACTTAAATTATCCGCCTGGCAGCAGGCAGACACAATTACAGTAAGATAATTGGCTAAATAGGGAGTGGCACCGGGCCACGTAAAGAATAAGACAAATAACAGCTGGCAGTGTGGCTCATCGTGCTATGTGTTAGGAATACGCTCGCCACCGCATCTCTGATTACTCTGCGTGGGTTCCCAGGTTCGAATCCCATGCAGGGATAGTTATGTGTGAGAGGATTGCTGGACTCCTCGCCGCCGTAGGGTGGTTCACGTAACCGCTGGTCAGTTACGGCTCCCTCCACCATCAAGTCCATGCTACCGAAAACAAATGACTGACTAATCCCATACCCGACATGGAATGATTACCGGACGAGAGGTCGTGGTTCGCCATATGGTTAAGCCGTCTTATTCACTTTCTTCTCCCCTGGGACAAATATGCAAATCCTATCCTGCCTAATTTAAGTGATTGGCTGACACTTTTTCGTCGAGGTCATTATAAAATATATCAGATTAAAGCAGCGTTTCCCAACCTTTTTTGGTCGTGGACTATTTTCTCACCGGCGAAAAGCATTGCGGACTCAACGTGCGTTTATAGCAACGGTACTCTGCGTGAAGAAATATTAAAACCAAACACAACAGAGTCGTAACGAATTTCAAAATCGGAAAGTCTCCGCAATTACGCGTTTGTTAAAAAAGCCAACTTTTTTGGTGTATAAATGGCCTTTTCTAGCGCACGATATTCAATCCATGACAACGACGAGAATTTAAAATGTCTTTCTATTTTAATTTAATTGTGTTCATGGTCACTCGCGGCTGCGTCGACTTATGACAAGATGAAAGCATTACTAATATTGAAGCAAGGCGATGAATATTTTTATTCAATTTACTAATATACTTTAATTATATATTTAATAAGAACTAATTGAAGTTGTACTTTCTGGAAATTTATACCAGATAGTAGGATTTTAGTAACTGGGATAAAAAATTCGGAAGATCGCAAAAAATATGTATCAAAACTAAATACAATCGGGCAATATATTCTCACATTATTATATTCGAAGATTGTTTACAGTTTAACAATTTAATTGTGATTATTTTAATCTGCGGTTGTGTTGACGAAATAAAAGAAATACAACTCTGAAAATATCATGACAATCCGTGGACACAAAAATACGTGGTATAGTGCCCGATTATATTTTGTTTTGATTCGAAAGCAGCACCAAAAATTTTGCGATTTGCAATATCTTAAAAAGCGTTTTTAATCGGTTGCGGACCATCATGAAACAAAACTTATGGGGTTTTATTTAGTATTTTGTATTACCGCTTCTCAATTTAGAAAATTTGGGTTGCGCAATTGACACCTACCAGAAAAAAACTTATTCCTCGCTGTACGAGTTCGCGAGACACACCACTTAGGTATATCTATCCACGTATGTGCGGACTCGTGTTTTCGTCACCTGGTACCAAATTTTCGAATAGTAAATTGCTATTCTAATAGTTGAATATTTCAATATGCCCAGCCCTACTCAGTAATCAGTAATTATGTTATGTGATAATTATGTTATAAATAATGTTATGTGAATAAACTTGCTTTTTATGTTTATGTAAATTCTAACGAAAATCGTAATTTGGCTAATGGTTAAATTTCGCAAAAACGTTTGCGGCCCGCAGTAAATTTATGGCTCGTTGCGGACTCATTCAAACGCTTCGCGGACTCATTTGAGACCGCGGACTCGGGTTGGGAAACACTGGATTAAAGTCATGTTTGAGAAGACTCATACGAAAATTAAACCGACCCTAGAAAAATAAAATAGGCATAGTCGCTCAATAAGACACCCCTTCCCTGAATCAGGGCGAAAAATTCAGAAAGGTCCAGAAAAGCAACTTACCGTAATACCAAGGAATAAATAATATATTAATATTCTTTGATATGTTCCTGCACCAATGCATAAATACGCACCCCCTAGTTAAATAAATATACTATAGTCGTGTATGTGTGTATTACAGGTGAAGAACATTCTAAAATTATGAACAATATCATTGGTTTTGAATACTATTTAGTATTATTATCTTGGTACCAATAGTTGTTTGCCATACGCTTCTCATACTTTTATCTTCAGCGGTGTTCCCCATCATGCTAAACATTAGGAATGCACTCGCCACCGTGCCTCTGATTACCCTTCGTGGGTAGGTATGTTCAAATCCTGTGAGGGATAATTATGTGCGAGAGGATTTCCAGACTCCTCCTCCCGGATACATGTGTGAATCCTATCTTTCTGTAATCGAACAGTGAATTTCTGTTTGTTTGTCTGTTAGATGCACGCGATATCTCACGAAAGCGAGATTGAATCTGCTCCAGATTTTGCATGTGCATTCATCATATATCGTACCAGAAGCCTATTGATTTTGGATAAATTATGTAGTATAATTAGCAAGTTATTAATTAATTAGTGATGAGACACAAGGTGTCACTATAGAGTAAGAGCACTGTTTTGGGGGATCCCCTAACTTTCGATCGATAAGTCTTCGATCTCTGACCGATATTCTCGTTTATACCTTGAAACCATCTATCAACATGAGCATTCTCGTAGTTAGAAAGAGAAAATAGAAATAGAGAAAACAGATCGACCCATATCCATGCTGAGACTTCTTTTTCAATATATCTAAAATAAACTTTCTTATTTTCTGCAACAAAAGAATGAAAAAACTATGGAATTACCAGTTATTTTATAGTCATATTTATCTTTTTGTTTACTGCATTTGCTACTCATTTGAAACGTGAAGAAGCTTCTTGTACACACGATTGCACCATCTATAAAGTATGCCTGGAAGTGGTCGAAAGTATGGGGTTCAGGTTGGAAATGAAACATATTCTCTAATTATGACTCAAGAGGATTGGGAAAAGAGAAGATTAGAACGAGAACATGCGAAAAAACTTTCTTTGGCTACCAATAAAAGACGAAGGTATCTGTGTGTAAATTGGACAAACACTATAATATATCTCTTCTCTGAATTTTCCCAATGGCTTGACATTCAACTTTTAGAAATACAATGCAGTTGTCAGAAAATAAAATTAATAATTTATCCTGAAATTTCATTTAATTAATAATTTAAATTGTCATGAATCACCCTAATGGATGTATCGAATCATTAACGAACGTCAAGGATTTATTTATAATTGAGAAAGTTGGGCATAACCCAAGTCTCAAGGTTTAAATAGTCTTATTATTAGCAACATTTGCATATCTTAAATGAGTTATTTTTTACTTATTCATTGCCCTTATTCTTTGTGAAGTTTCAATGAAGTTGAATACATGGATGGCCAAAACTGAATATTTCACTATTCCGAATACATTCTGACAAAATATTTCTGAATATGGAATATTGAATAGGCCTACATTCTAAATTGGGGGCAAGTTTATGTGAAAAATTATATGAATTACTATATCTCAATATTGATCACATCTAAAATGAGATGAATATAAATGGTCATCCTTTTTTCTGTATTGTTTCTTATCAGTTAGGATATCTTACAATTTGATCGGCTTGTCTAGTTTTCGAATAAAAATAGTCTTGATTATTCCTAAATTCATAAATTTATATATTTAATATAATGATCTTTGAATATTCAATTTGTTTTGGACATCCCTGTTACTATAGTTTACCAGACTCTGTAAATATTTTCAACCAACATCTGTTGTTTCACTCCATTTTTTTCAGTATTATTTTCTTTAAACAGAGCACTGGAAGACCGAAAAAGACTGGCTGAGAGAAGAGAAAATAGAAAAAGGGAACTTGAACTTTTCAAAAGACGCCAACGACAAATTGAAGCAACAGAGAGATATCAACACTTTCGCATCAATGCAAAAGATAGAAAAGATCATACTGCAGGTTTTGAAATGATCCGTTATCATCATTTACCTATATTAGTACCGGTATTAAAAAGCTATTTGCCTTCTGTTACAAGTGTTACTGTAATTATATTTTCATAACATTGTTTCATGTTTATGACCAACTGCAGATTTTAAAATGATTTGCTTCATCAATAAAATTAGTGTGGGGAACATGTCTGCTTTGTTTTACAAGTGTTAATTATATTTCAATAACAGTGTTTTGTTTTGACATTTTTTGGCAATATAGTTTAGAACTCAGACACAATCTTTACTCAGATTCATGAGCTGTGTTACCTGCAAAAAGTTTTTCCAAATCAAAGAAAAATTAACTATTGCTGTTTTAATCTGATGATAATAAAATGTTTGCAATTTGGCAATATTCTTTGGTCATTTTAGAGAACTGAACTTGAGATGAATGCATTGCGTCTATGATTAATAAAGTTGTAAATTTGGTATAAGAAAAATATGACACATATTTGATATTGAATTCTGATTCTTTTTACACTCCATGTGCAGACAAAATACTGTCTTAATTACATAATATATATATGGAAAAATTGGGCATATGGGGACTTTTGCCAAAAATATATGTATTTCTAGTGAGTTGTTAGTGACTGAGTTTGTTGATCTGCAGAGCCCAAAATGAAAAATTTTGATTCCAGAGTTTTGATGAAATCCAGTCCCAGTTTCCTATTCACACATGTGTCCCTTTCAAGTCTTGATAGTAATACCTACCTCCTTATTTTTTTTTTGTTTTCTTCCAATGTATTTAACTTGTCAATCTGACTCATTTCTGCTTTTATAATCTGCCTATATACTATATGCTTTTATAATTATACTTTCACACCAATCTAAGGGGTCAACATTTTTTTGATAATACCATGACAAATATATATGAAACAAGTTTCTTTCTGGTCAAGACCCAGGTTGAATATAGCATTAGAATTGAGTGCACATAATTTCTCCATCACATTTTGGGTTGGGTACAAACTACCATTGTACAAAGCCTATTGATTACCAATACTCGATATTCTCATGTTTCTCATTGTTGTATTGTATTGTTAGGAGGAATGTTTAGTTATAGTTGTATCAGGACAATGAGTTTTTTTTATAAATTGGAATCCTGACGTCTTTGTAGTAAGTGTTGAAACCATTAACGAAGTGTCTACATGTTTTCAAACCATTGCGTCATAATTAATGAATTATTTGAAAAAAAAATTTTCATATTTTATTTACTTAGAACTTACTCAAACGATACCAAGTCTTGAGGAGATTTTGCAGAGAGTAAGAGGAGGTGACGGAGATGGTGTCAATTCAACTGTGACATATCAAGATTATGCAAAGTTAGTTGTGGAATATAGATAATTGGTAAATTAGTGAATAGGGTGCGAAAAGCTATCGGGATGAGGAAATTGATGGTGATTCACTTTTTTTGAGCAAGCATGTCCTTACTTTATTCATGCTGCATAATTGTCAATTCTTTTGAGTATTTGTTAATTTTGTTGATCTCAAAAGTAAAATGTGACATTTTAATGGCCGTTTATCCTTTGCTTGATACTTTTGACATCATCTTATGTTTTATCATCCTAGATCGACTCCTACATCATTGCATCAACCTCGACAATATGAAAACCAAACACCGAACCAAACAACACGATCAACTCCACAAACAGCAAAGGTGTGGGCGATAGTAATATATAATTTTAATAAACCTACAATCACTAAAAATGAATAAACCTTCTAAGAGTTCAGGAAGACTAACGCAAATAAGCTTAAAGCATGACTAAAAAGTTTTGTTGGACAGATACAAATTGTAATCTATTCATACTACCACGTATGCAACATGCTTCAAAGCTCCATCTTTCTGATAAACCCAGAAAGTGACTATTCAGAAAATACTTTTGAAAGCCATTCTGGTCCAAATGCTCAGTCTTCTTTTTTACCAAACACCTCTCCTAATTTGAGTCATTCCAGGAATTGATATGGGTTTTATAATTTTCAACATAGGAGTTTTCTGAAGATATAAATCGTGAAATACTTGAGTTAAAACATGCAGAAAGTGGATTACAACAGGATGTCAACTTGCTGGATGGTGAGTTCAGTATAAGATATTGCTGCAGATTAAAGAAAACATTTTTGTATATAAGATTAACTAATGTCGTATTTTCTATCCACAAAAAAGAGAAATGAAAGTAAAATCTAAAATATTGAGGTCTGATTACGTTAGTATTCATCTATTTGTATTATCGTACTAATCAGTATCTTAACCAAAAATTCTGCATAATGCAGTTGCCACCTTGCCATGTTGTTTTTTCTATTATGCATTAATCTTCCACATAAATTTTGAGATTTAGTCGATGAAAATCAATCACGACACGTCATTCTTGACTCTGTAATTGTTTTATTCGTAGTTTTTTGTTTTTGTTTTTATAGATAATGATGGTCAAGATTCACTGCATGGAAGTTCACTTTCTGGTTCTTCATCTGTTTCAACTAACTACATAAAGAAATATGATAATTCTACTAATAGTACTATCAGCAGTGATTTGAAATTTCAGCATAAAAACAATCATCATATTGCAACAGAACATAAAATACCTCCATCGCCTCAATTGCAAAATGTAGGTCGAATTACGCTAAAAACTATCGATTTTCTTCAAAATATAAATGAAGCATGACATAGGGTATTTAGTTTTTTGTGTCTCCTTGGCTGAGCGGTGTAGCACTTCGTGCTAAGCATCAGGAATACGCTCGCCACCAAATCTCTGATTACCCTGTGTGGGTCCTCCATCACGAAGTTCATGCATCTGAAAAAATAACTGGCTAACCAATGCCATACCCAACATGGACTGGTAATCGGACGAGAGGCAGTGGTCAGCCATATGCTTAAGCTGTCTCATCGACTTTCCTCCCTCCCCCCCCTCCATGATAAATATGTAAATCTAATCAACCTTTTACTTCACAGACAAATTACACCAATGCTGCTCTGACTACCTATGTTGAAAATAAAGAGCCACCTAATACAAGTGTTTCAGAAGCAAATGGCAAACCTATTATGCATAGTTTTGAGACTGGTGTGCTTTGCAAAAGAGATGCTACGACAGGCCGAATAACATATTATGTGAAATCGTACAGGCCTTGGAGTGCGGGAATGACAAATAAATCACAGAAGACTAATTCGTTCAACAATATTACTGAATCACTGAATATACGCTCTAGATCATCTTACGAAGAATCTAAACCTAACCTACCAATTTCTCCAACCAAAACTTCACAAAAACATTTCGAATCATGGACTTCGAGTGCTGGGTATATAATTCACAACAAAACACCTATTGTCCTCCATCAGTCAAGAAAACCTACGCAACAGCCCCGAAAAGTTCCAGAAACACCTTATATTGATATTAAACCTTCGCAGACTTCTGCATCCATTCGTAGAGGAACAACGTCAACCCCTGTAAGTCCATTTTTTAATGAAGAACAAAACCAAAAAAATGCAGTTGTAACTTCAAGTAAAGACCCTACAGCGATTGCAAATACTTTTGAAATGAGACAAGAAAATACTCCTGCAGCTACAAAAAAAATCAGTGTGACTAAAATTGGATTCATAACCTCACCTGATAATGTAATAGGCCAGAAGACGCCCAAAAATGACAAGATTGATGAGCAATCTGATGACGCACAATGTGATCAGGATGACAACAAGAAAGAAGGAATTGCACTGAAAGGAATTTTACGACGATACTCCAAATATGACAGTGAATTGCGAAATGCGTTCGCACGTCCAGCTTATCAGTCAGCCGGTATTGCGCGTCAGAAATGGCTACATGGAATCAATGTTATTACAACTGATGACAGAGACAGGAACAGAAATCGTGCTCGTTCTGCAGAAACAAAAAGTGTAAGATGGCATCAAGTACAATACAATGATGGAACATCGTCCGCACTTGATATGCATGAAAACACTCCTGTACAGTTTCAGGCATCACCAGTACCCAAACCGCAGGTAGTGAGAAATTCGGAAAAATCTGTCAAACAATCTTCAAAAAAAATTCCAGTTCGACCCAAAACATCCCCTGCAAGGGCAATAAAAGGTGGTAAAGGAAGAGGTAGCGGCAGAAAATTTTATCAAGCCAAAGAAGTTTCTGTAAAGATCCAACCTCATCCACCCCCACAAAAAAAATCACCAAATTTGTCAATGTCTACGTGTATAAATTACTCTATAGATCCAAATGAAGATTCCAAACCTTCTAGAGATGTTAAAGCTTCACCGGGAGAAATTTTTGTCAATAGTGCAGGTAGGTCTTTATAAAAAATGTTGCAACACTACTTAAGTTATTCAATTAAAGAGTCCAGCTGCACACTAACACAAATGTATTTCTGTAACGTTTCGTCAGACTTCCTCAGACAAGCAGTTTACAACAATGGCAAGAAATAAATTTGGTAAATCACTTACTACTTAAGTTGTATATGGTTAGCTACAGCCACAGTGACCTATCTTATCGGCTTTATTGTCCTATATCAAAAATCCTATACAAATATACCGCTACATGAAATCTTAATTTGTTTTTTAAAAATCTTACTTGTGTTGTGTCTAAGTTGTATCTAACGATCTTTAATGAAGCTGATACGTTATAGGCATCACGCAGATATGCTTGTCATTGGAATCATTATTTAGTAGTACATGATACGAGTATGCCTGAAGCATTCCGAAACCTAATCCAGAAATTGAGTTGGATCACACCTCTTTCAAAACGATGTCGGTATAAGAGATAAGCTAGTGTGGTCCTCTGAGATTTGTGGAAGGAATTATATTCTGAAAACTCACTGCCATGCATCAGAAACTGATTAGCTATTATCACACCCAACCTTGACTGGTAATCAGAACATATGCCAGAGTTTGCAGTACGAATGAGCTGTCTTATCCACTTTCCTTTCAAGAAATTTAGGAATTTTCATTTATAAAATGTTGTTAGATTTGAGTTTTATCAATGAGAAACTGCTTACAAAGTATTCACGAATATTGTAAGAATTAGACAAGTTCGGTGCTTCTACTTTGTTCAAATCGGTGTTTAGGCTACCTATTGCATGGATGATTGAGGAAGCCGTGACCATGAGATTGACTGTATCAACCCCTTTGAATTATTTCCTTCGAAATTCCAACTAATTTTAGGGCTTAGCACAATGTACCACTTGTTGTTTCAAGCATTTTGTTGTTATGTTCTACAATAATCATCTTGTATTGGTAAGGTAGATTTGGAATTTTGTGCTTAATCAAAGTGCATAATTATGCTTTTTGTTTGGACTGAGCTGTAAAGTAATTTCGTGGTCCTTTTATGCTCAAATCAATTAGTGCAGATTATACAGGCTCTATGTTAAGACATACAGGTAAAGCTTGTATAATATTGGTTTTATGTCAACAAAGTTAAAACTTGAAAATCTAACGAAATTGTGAAACTTATTTTAAAATCTGGATATCTCTTGTGACTTATTGAATGATAATGGTTTAAGGTGTCACTCGTCAACGTTCGCCTGCCGCTAATAACAACAAAAGAGCATCAGTATTACATAATAAGATAATGTTTCATCGGAAAGGAAAACTCGATAACAGAGGAGAAGCTGTAACAATGAGTACTTTGAAAAGTCAGGGGAACTTATCGCAACCAAGTGATGAAATCAGAAATGTCAATCGAGGAAATCAGGTCAGTATTTGCCATCAGAATTTGTACTAATTCCAATTCAAGTGTTTTTTGCAGTGTATTATTTTGGAATAGATTGCACCACATTAATTAAGAATACTCACTCAGCGGTGTGGCACATTTTGATAGCATTAGGAATAAGCTCGCTACTGCACCTCTGATTACCTTGTGTGAGTCTGTAGAATCCTGAGAGCATAAAGAGGATGGCTAGACTCCTTGCCGTCGTGGGGTGGTTCATGTAACCGCTGGTCGGTTACGACTTGCTCCACCATCAAGTCCACACATCTGAAAACGAAAAAAATAACTGGCTAACCAATCCCAAACCTGGTGACATGGACTGGTAGCCGAATGAGAGGCCGGTTTTTCGCCAGATTATATGTTCTTATCTCTTCTCCAGGATAAATATGTATTTCCTATATTATTAGTGTTATTATTTTATAGGTGACAATAAATGTTACAAGTTCAAAACCCATAACCTATGGAAGTAGTTCATGGAGGAAAAATTTGTCTACTGATATAACACATAGAATACCTTTGAATGGTACGCCCACAGACCAAGAGATTGATTTGTTATGGGATAAGGTGAACATAATTCTTTACAATTCATAATGGGAGACATATTCAAAAACTAAATAGTTAGAATGTAAAGTATAATGCATACCAAATTATATAACTTGCTTTCGGATGCATTTTATTTATATATGTTGATATGTCTTCATGGTAATTCAATTGTTGCAGATTATACCTTTAACTATTTTTCATGAGTGATTATGTGCATCAGCAAGTAAAACTTGGAGGTGGAACTATTTTTTATTTTCCCAGGTTAGAGCATATTTAGCATGGAATAAAAGTCGAATTACAAATAATCCTGCTTCAGTAAAGAATGATTATGGTACTTCAGAAAGGTAAATCAAATGAAGCTGTTCGTGAATATAGATATATTTTCTGAATTAAACTAGAGACAATTTTCACAAAAATCATGATAAATGCCAGAGTTTTCTTCGAAAACAAGTAATGATGCTTAAATATAGACATTCTTAATCCATGTCAGTAGTAGTCAGTCAGTCATACATATGAACATACACTTGATGCAAACAAAAACTAGGAAAACAACCGAAAAATGGTATTTCACGGTGAAGGGTGACGTGAAAAAAAACAATGTTGGTTATCAGGCAGCGAACAAATTGAAAGGAAAATATATGTAATCGAAAAAATTAATGCCTAAAAACCATATAGTTAGAATATCATTTATTTTCAACTGATGTTTATCATAAATCCAATATATGACTTGTGGTAAATTATCCAGGAAAATAGCTTGGGGCTCATCTCAACTTGATACATCTTCAAAACAAATTTCTGCGAATATTATTTCAATTGATGGTGGAATTTTCAGTAAAATTTCCAAACCCGAAGACCAAAGTTTCCAAACACATAGTAAAACGCAACAATATAAAGGTAACGGAACACAAAAGATGCAATCGAAATTGGAAAAGCACAGAATTTCAAAAAGGTGATAATTATGTTAAGAATATAATTTGCTGGAATGTAGTGTTTTTCAATTTTCCCTGAGTAAACAAGGTTCAACTTTAAAAACCTAATGAAATAGGCTTGTTCATTGGCCATTAGTGGAATGTTCTACCCACCAAGGAAATCGAAAGTACAAGGATAAAATGAAAACTACTTTGAGTTGATCACACATAACATTTTAATTTTTTTGCATTTTAAGCGCAAAAAATGTGAATTCCTATTCGTCACAACAACAATATGGTGGTCAGGACTTCAGACCTTGGAGCGCCCGTGGATCACAACTACAAGAAAAGGTACTTTATCCTTCTACTATTCACAATAAATTTTAAAATAGCAAAAATCTTCTTCATCAAAATTTCATTCCTGATAGTAGGAATGCATCAGTTACCTATTTTTCACAGTGGAAAACTGCGGTATATGAAATTAAATTGTGATATTCCGTTTCATGCTCTTGCAAACACCACAATAGAACACAAATATTTATCTAATGCCTCTACAGCATGCCAGATTTACAGTTGCATGGCAAAAGTAGTGTTTGTGGTTTGTTTGATAAAATGACTTTGGTAAAGTTTTTTGGGGTACATCTAATTTGCAACAAAATGCATCATGATTGTGATTGGGGGTTAAATTAATCTTGAACAAAAGATTAACTAACAAACTAACTTGTATCCATACTTGAATATAGGAATAGGATAGAATGTTTAAAAAATTATCTCGGGAAGGGCTATGAATCTCTTTCTGAACTATACACACCATAGATTTTTTCCACACACCGAAGTGTTTTCTATAATTTTGTTTCATTAATACAATTTCCAAAATTAACCAAACATCGCAAAAAGGCACAGGGCGTATTTGCCAAAATTTGTTACAATCAAACACAAAAACGAGTTGACTGTTCAGGTATGCAGCGATCATTTATTGCGTATAGGTAACATCGAAATAATTGTTGACATTGCCTTGACGGAACTCCCATCGACTATCTTACCCATGGTACTCGTTGAACAAAATTTATTTTTTGATCACTTATCCGGATCACTTGCTTCCATCAGCTGGCAAATAACACATTGTTTGAAAGCGAGTCCTCCTGCCCTACTTTACTTTTTGATGCTTTGCTACTAAACTTGTAATGAAGTTTGGTGAATGGCCCAAAGTCAGTTCTGGGATTATTCAATTATTGTATGTGGAATGATGTTTAAAACTTAATCAACGATGTTAAACTCTCCGTATGATTCAACTCAAATTATCTAATTTCAGAAGTTCAAAATTGTTGGTACATTTGCGAATAGACGGATAAACTAAAGACATAAGTTTGCCACAAATTTAAAGCAAACCGAGTTTTGAATTCATCCAATCACCTTCTAAAACTCTCCAGATATTAACTTTAAATATTTCTCAACATACTATGTAATAATAAATTATTTCGTCTACTACTTATGATTGGAGAGTTTTAAACGGAAGTGATGTTTTTGCATATAGACATATGGTAGAATCGGTAACAATTTTTCCTTCATCCCTACTGACTCCCTTCGTGAGTAAAATCTAATAACCGTTGAAATCAAAATTTGTTTCATCTTAGGTTGGAGGGACAATACCATTGGTCACCAATGTGGATCCAGCATTTGCAACAATGCGCCGACAGCAACTTACGGAAAGTGTGAAGACTTTCCGTCTTGTAGAAGCTCTAATTGAACAAAATGTTCCAGAGGAACAAATCTTAAAAGCACTTGACTCGTTACAAACTGCAACTCGTGAAATTTGATTTTTTTTTCATTATCATTAGCTTCTCTACGTCCTTAAATTCCTATTCTGTATTTAATAATAGTTGCTTATTCAAGTGAAACTGTGATTTTACCAAGTATTTTTATGTTATCATTAATATGTAAATGTACTAGAATGATGGCTTCCGGTAATATAAACAAATGGTACAAAAAATGATTTTTTTTAAATTTATTGGCGCGTGATAATTTGTCTCAATTCGAGCCATGTTCTGTAGTAATCAGATGTGTTTCTGGTGCTTGTACTCAAATAATGGCTAAATCATGCATTAATCATGTTTGCGCCCGTGGTAATGGCCCAGATGTGAATAGTTATTCATGTGGGAGATTTTCGCAATTTCTAAAATGACGAACACTAGTGAACCCAGTTATAAAAAGACCTAAATATTTGAAGGATTACCACTGTGATTGAATAATATTATTTTATATTGTGTGTACAAACTCGTTCGCAACTACCCTAATTTTATTTCCCCTATGAGCTGGTGTGTACAATGCGAGCAATTATCTATAGGAAACCTTGTTCTAGTTTGAGGGGACGATGTGCATTTTGAATAAGAGAGTCTGTCACGGAGCTTGTTTAATGTCCGTCTTTACATTGTAATATACATTTCTATGTTATCTCATACTATTATGCAGACACATTATATAGACTGTTTTTGCCGGTTCCAACTAATATGTAGACATTCTAAATTGCATTATGGGACCCCCGGTCCTACCCATGAAATATTTATTTCCTTCTTCGCCGGCTAGACTTGAGGTCGGATGCTATTTGCTATTTATTCCACTTGGCGAGTTTCTGTTTTCACCAAAAACCAATTCGGAATCTTAGGTCTTCCGATCGCGACACAACGACATATATATATTTTGTTAGGTCGACAGCTTGCTATGTTTTCTGTATTATATACATGATTAATTAATTGTGTAATGTATTATTCATTATCCAATGAGTTATACAGTGATAAACAGTGGGAGCTAACTATTTTTTTGTAATTTTCTTGCGCTATGCTTCAACCTGTTGTCTTTTGTTTTCATGTCGTTGCACGTGAGGCACAGTTGAACATTTTACATAAGAACCGTGAAATCATTACCCAGGTCTTGGTAAGTATTTAATGCGCTTCTACCGTTTTTTTTTTCAATTTTAACCTGCATTTCCAATATTGCTGGCGGTTCATGCCAGATAGTGTTGCAACCAAATGCACTATTAAAGACCTCGTGAATAAGTAATCTCGTAAAATTGCATCTTCTGCTTCATAGTTTTTAGATAATAAAATCATGAAAAACAAATAAACTACCTCATAGTTTGACTGGTTTGGAGATCCAATTTAGTAAAACTGGAGAATTTTTCAGCAAGTTATTTCAGACGTCTCAAGGTTTTTTGAAGTTGAACAGAAATAAACTTTCACACTGCGCACGATTTCGAGAAGCAGAGTGACGACAAATCTAGCAATAACATTATGAAAGATATTCAGCTTTTATTAAATCTGAAAATTTGCCTAAACTTCAAAGGAAATCCAAACGTAAGACATGAAACGAAACTACTATAGCCTACTACATGGGCAATCTCATCTTGGGGCATGGGATAATAAGATATATACCCTCCAACCTGGCTTCAAACTCAGAGATGGATTCAAGTGAAAAAAACAGAAGTGTCTAATCGGAACATTGTGACAATACGAGATATATGTAAAAAAATACGTTAGCGTGTGAGTCTTACCTTAATACATGTCGGCGACCTACACCTTGGCGCGGGGGAAATACAAACCAAGTGGTGAATACCGAGACATTTTATGGTACTGAGGGCTGTGTGCACTCGCGTTAAACACTACGGCAATCACCCCCAATACACACTAATGTATTATATCTTCACCAGAACCAAATTAAAATATCACGTACGCGGTTCATACATAGTACGCTAAACTTATACAAGTAGCAAAATTTCACATATATATATACCATAAGCTTTTCTACATAACCTCATATGGTCTACACATTGGTTCCCAACCGCCGGTGCCGGTCCGCGAGGCTTTTTTGCCGGTCCGCGAAAAAATTTCGGTGTTTTGTTGTTTTTATACCGAGGACGAGGTCGCGTTGGTTTATTACGCAATTTCTCTTCCGCCGTCATATTGCGACATCTTGGCGCCGAGTAATCATACTTTTCGCTTTTTCGGCTCCGATTCATCTCGAATGCGCTCCGATCTCTTTACTGAAGACGAGGTCGATTTATTACGCAATTTCTCTTCCGCCGTCATATTGCGACATCTTGGCGCCAAGTAATCACACTTTTTGCTCATCGTGAATGCGCTCCACCAAATCTCGCAAGATTCAGAAACCTAAAAATTGGCACGCGTGCCTTTTCTGTTTTGCATGCTTTTCCTGATTAATATGACCATCCAAATAAAACGTTATGCATATTTCTTTGTTCAGACCAAAAAACCGTCAAGAAAAGTATAATACTCCAGTAAAATATGGCAGGTGGTCACGAGGAGCGAAAAAAGCTGAGATATTTTCCAGTATCTTGAGCAGACAAAGTAGGATTTTGAGCCTGGTGCCAAATTACCGACGACTTTGTCATTGTAATGTAAATTCATTCCGTTTGAAGCATCGATCAACTGCAGAGGGATTGATATGACAAACCCAATGAAAAAGCTTGATTCAAATTGTGATTCTACTTTTCAGTCCAGATTTAAAAAAGAATCACTGTCACAATTTTGGATATCTCTTGATAACGAATACCCATTGCTAAGTAATCGAGCAATCAAACTGTTGTCCATATTTTCAACGAGTTACTTCTATTTTTATTACGTATATATAAAAATATTTTCATCACTAGCAAAGCGAAGCAAGGAAATTGGCTGCACGCCGCTGCAGCGCTACGTGTTGCAGAAACTTCCTTGAGGCATCGTTTGCAATCCTATATTGGAAACTAAACAGCAGGAAAATTTTCACTAGAGTCAATTACGTTTGTACATGATTTGACATGTACATGTTTTTTATGTGAGATGTTTTATGTGTGCCTTTCTTACGCATAATGGGTGCCCAGCACTGCATTTCATTACGCAAATATTTTTGGCCGTCATATTATTTGATAGTTTTTCTTCGTGTGAGCTGTTTTTAAGTTTGCCTTTTTTGTCTAGACTCTAGACCAGGGGTCGGGAACCCATGGCTCGCGAGCCATATATGGCTCTTTTGGTGACGGCATATGGCTCCCAGAAAAATCTAATATTCTAAGACTAAGCTTACTATTGTTACGAGATTTCAAACACTTTTATAGCCAATTTTGGCAGAAAATTCCCAATACGTTTGAGAACGCGCGCCCAGCACATGTCTATGTTTGTAAGATAATTACCAGACAGGCATTGTGACAAACAAGGGGATTCTGGAACATATATTGTGACATCACAAAGCGATAGAGTTTAAAAACACTACGGAGATGCCTAAACGAGAAAGGGTGCTGAGTACCGTAGATTTCAACTTGAGCAAGTGAGCAACCGTTCAAGGACCGCAGCGATTACATGCAGCATCAGAAATCACATTAAATGTATATTGACATTGTATGTGTTGACTTTTGAGTGAACATTTCAGGCCTGATTAAATGAAGAAATGTTATATGGCTCGCACGGAAATGCAATTGAAAATATGTATATTTTATGGCTCTCTTGACCAAAAAGGTTCCCGACCCCTGCTCTAGACGCATATTGAGTGCCCGACATTGCATTGTATTACGCAAATATATGTTATTCTTTTATGTTCCGGTCATTTCAATTTTTCGCCGGTCCGCGAGTACATTTAATTTAATTTTACCGGTCCGCCAGGGTAGAAAGGTTGGGAACCACTGGATTGAATGCATGGTAAAATAATGCTGCCCGCTTGATATTCATTTTACTTTCTACAGTTCTATAGAAACTTTACTTTCTATTTGTGTGCCTCACTGAATGAACTGATGGCTCTACATCATCATCAGTACGTTTCCAAGGGCTTAAAATTTGACAAATCATGGGGCTTTTGTACTTAGTAAAATTGTTGGCTTTTTCTGGCTTTTTTATGTCTGGATTTGACTTTTTTTGATCGCTGGGGTCTGGCAACTCTGATACTACTATTGAAAAGAAACTTATTATTATAATGATTTTTGATCATCGAAGCATGCAAAGAAATAACCAAGTATTTCGGATAACTTCGACAGCGAGGTAAGTCTGTGGAGAGAATCTAGTTGCTGCTTGTACCTGGCCTTGTTCGGAGCGGGGATGAGCTTCGTATTGCAAAATTGCTTCCTCCGATGATTGAATACAAACAACTTCAACAGCAGGCGTACGCTATAATTCCCCACCAAATTTTGTGTAGACGTTCTTTCGTCTTTCCGCTTATAATAAGGTAGATTAGTAAAACACATAAACTGTACACAATACGATTTGAGTTGATGAGTACGACATTTCGTTTGCATATGCGTAGCCTATTCTGTTGCTAAAAATTCTACATTTCGCATATAATATATCGACAAAACCCACAAACCTCAGCATCATGTCCTTCTGCTCGGGAACAAGGAGTGAAACTCGGATATTTGATTGTTAAAAAAAATTGTCCCACCTTGAACGTTACAATTTAATTTTACAATTCAATTTTTTCAATCAAAATATCATGCTTGCCCCAAAGGTCGAAATAGAAACGAGAAACTAACATGATTTTAAGTTTTTGCTTCAGAGGGACCGAAATTAAAGAAAAAATTAACGTGAGTTCCGACTTTTGTGCTACTTACGAGTTGTTTTTCAGAGGCCTAAGAATAAATTCAGTTTTTACTTATGAACAAGTGGGTTTTTATTCTGGGTAACTTGAGCTTCGTTAAATTCTGAAAGGTTACCGTTTGCTCCAAACGCTGTGAATTGAAATAGCAATCTATCGAGGTAGACAGCAAGCGATGTCTTCCATAGATTTTGACTTGTATATTTCTATGCTATATAGGAATCTCATAACCAAAATTTACAGCATTCGAGTTCAGCTTTATTTATATATATTTACTGCAAGGCTAATCGCGATTTTTCAGCTACCATAATCGTATACGAACATTTGAAACATTATGTTTATATTTATCAGAGACGGAGGAGGTCGTTGGGATTCTATCACATTTAATTTTATCTACCTGAATTTTGCTGTCTTATTTCGAGCGCAACATTTATTTCACTCCATGTAAATTATCCACTGATTCAAGCAATTATTTGGCTTTTATCATTTTGAATTGAGTTATAAGCACTGCCCGATTTTGAATCGTGTCCATATTTTTTGTATACTCGTACTATTTTATTTTTTGGTGGATGGGCACGTACTTGTACGTTTTTTTAACTTTATTTTAAGTTATGCTCGCCTACCAGGTATCTCTGTATTTGTTGTCTGTTTACTTTTTTGTATAAAGTTCGGGAACCAGTTAAATCACCAAAGCAGTGTTAACTCTAAGGAAATTATGAGTGCGAAAGTGCTTCGCAGTCGAAAAAAAAAGTGCGAAAGTGCTTTTTCTGATTTTAACTAGTTAGGTGCCCTAGCTTTCGTTTAAACTGATTTCAAACAGCATAGATACTCGAAAAAGCGCTCCTTCCGTTAATATTGTGAATATATTGAAGTCTTTCCGTTAACGGAGTTTCGTTTAAACCCTTGTTAAAAACAAGCGAATTCATCAAAGGACACCTGATAAGCACACTTGTCGGGAATAAAAGTTTCGTGCAATCAACCACCAGCGTCAGTAACGAAGCGCACTCCCGCCTGAACAGACAAGCCTTGCAAACTTGTTTCTTCCATCTAACAGACACCGATTGATACATGCAGATATTAGTTACTACCGGCCATAGCTAGGGAGGGGGATCATTTGTACAAAACCCGGGCAAAATGACATCCCATGACCCATCACCAATATCGCTTTAGTATAACACGCTTCCTCGTCCGAAAGAATATGCTTGAAAGTAGTCCGCCCTCTTCCCTTTTAAGAGATTGGTTAACGTCATGTTTCTCCGGCCAGTTTTTCTTTGGGAAATAACGCAAGATCACCATGAAAGTACCGCTGTTTTTATAGATAGAGTGACCTACTTTCTATCGAAGATTTTTTTTCCGAAATATTATGCAAGATCACTTTGAAATCCCTTTCATGAGCTAGCTTGGCCTAATTTATATTATACTGTCTCACGGATTACGCTAAGACGTGTAATTTCAAATATCGACTTGCATTGGTTTGCGTGCCAGTTAGTTCAAATCGGGTAGAAAACATCATATATTTGCAATTTTTTTTAGAAATGCCATGTACTTCC